CTCCGACAAGGCTCCCGGGCAGCCGCGGCCGCCCTGCCCACGCCAGCCATCTTCCCAGCGGCCCCCGCGCCCCGCGCTGACCTCCGGAGGAGCCGGCTGTGTGCGGAGAGGAGGCTGCGCAGGCGCCGTGGCGGGCAGCCGGGTTTGGCTAAAGCGCGCCGGGAGGACCTGCGGCACTCGGAAGCGCGCGTGCGCACAGCGTCTGGCTCCTGGCAGCCTTTTGGCTTTGCGGCTGCTGGTTCTTCTCCGAGGGAGTTTCGGCTGTTACGGTTTGGAAAGCTCCAGCAGGCTTTCGGGAGACTGTTTATTCCGCGGACCGGTACCTATTGCAAGGCTGGGAGCGCGGAGAGAAACCGTATCCAGGATTCCTGGATTGGAAACCATCTCATCAACCCGAGGACACCAGGGAGCGGAAGCATAAAATGCTAAACTTGGTGCATTACAAATCGCTCTCACTCGGAGTTTTTTGTTTGTTTTTTTGCATTATATCTTTTTCTTTTGTTTATGTAAGAAATAAGCCAAACCTGTGAAGAATTTTTGTGAGTTTGTGTGAGCCAAACTGCCGACAGTTGCTGGGGAGCCAAAGCCTCCGCTCGCTGAGATGATGCACCTTGCTTTCTAGCTGGCAGTCAAAGGGGGGGACCTAAGTGGGTTTCAGGAAATCCACTGGGGATAGATTAGGGAGGTGGGAGAAGGCAAAGCGGGGAAACCTCTGGGACTGGATAAAAAGTAAAATGATAGACACACACTTCTTTTACACAGGTGGGTACAGGGTTGTTAACAGTCAACATTTAACAAGGTATCAATGACAGGATTCCTGGTCTCTGCCCTGGTGCATTGAGGGTCCGGTAATTAGTATGTTTTGCAAAGGCACGTGTTAGGTAGGGTATCTCCGATGCAAAAGACAACCAACAGGCTTAGTTAAGGTGAAAATTAACCTTTGTTAGGGAAAAATACTGCCTTTCAGGACGTGGCTACCACCCATAAGTTGCTTATGTTTTAAAAGTTTTCAGACCACCCTTTGTGGTTATTTTAGATCTCTTAGTTTGCAAGGCTGCCACGCAGGCCCGCCTTGAGCGTGACGGGTTTAGACGTGCCCCTATTTAAAGTATGCATCCACATTTTATTTCATTTTATTTTTTCCATCACCATTTAGCCCCTGCACATCCTCCACCTCCAACCCCCTCAGTTTTAACTTGCGCAGGAAAGGCTCCCAAGGTCTGGCCTGAAACCTACTTCTATAAATACCTGGAATGGAACGGAACATTCATAGCGCCTTCACCCCTTTTACATTTGTTTTTGGTCCAGCTCTTCCTCTGCCTGACTACTGAATTATTCTGACCCCTGCCTCAAGTTATATGCAAAAATAAATTCCAGTAGATAAAAACATCTCACCCTGGCCAGGTGGCTTGTTGGTTGGAGCGTGGTGGAGCACACCCAAGGTTGCAGTTGATCCCACCTCAGGGCACACACCTAGGTTGCGGGTTCCATCCCCGCTCCAGGCGAATACTGGAGACAGCAAATGGATGTTTCTCACATGATGTTTCTCTCTCCTTCCTCTCTCTAAAATCAATAAAAGCATATCTTTGGGTGGGGATCAAAAAATATATCAGTGGAAGAATAAACTTTAGAAGATAAAATACATTTAGGAGAATATTTTATAGTCTGGGGATAGAAAGGACTTTATCTTAAGACTTGAAATCCCCAAATCATAAAGAATAAAAGTGTCTGACTATACACAGATTAAAACATTTTGAATGGCAAAAGGTACCTCTAGTCAAATGAGAGTCTAGAAAAATTCATTTTACAGCACAACAGAACATTCATACTTCTATTTAGTCTGCTACTACAAATGATAAAATAATTCCAATAAAATTAGCCAATGGCTAGGAATAGACAGTCCATATGTGTAAACCTGATGTTCAACCTCACTATCTGAAAAATGTGAATTAAAGAGATAACATTCCCTACCTATCAGATTGGCAAAAATTAAAAACGGCAACTACTGTCAAGAATCCTGGGAAACTGGCACGCAAACTGGAAATGTTAATTGCTAAACTCTTGTCAACTAAGCTGACCACATCTTTACAATTTAAAACATGCATCATTTTCAACACCCTTGATCCAGTGGCCCCATTTTGTGACTATTCTATAGAAAATACTAACATACAAGGATGCATATTATTACTACAGCACCACTTTTAAGAAGTAAACAAAAGAAAAAATGGAATGGCCAATAATAGAAAAGTGGTTAAATAAACTGTAGAACAAGGGTTTCTGGATTCCCACTCCGACACTCTTCCATGTAATTCTGGAGGGTCTCAAACATCAACAAGCTAGGCCTTATTTAGAGTTTTACTACTTAAAAGCTACAGTGGTTGGTATAATACTTAGAGTAGAGCTACTTGACTGCCTTGGTCATAAATATTGGAGCAATGATTGGTGCTAGAGTTAAAGGCAAAGGTTAAAGTGAATCAGCCTATTTTTGTAGTCTTGAGAATCTGTCCTATTGGGACATACTGAAAAGTGAGGTAAATAAAAACCGAATAGATGTCTTTCTTCTGAGGTGTACGGCCAGAAACAGCAAGGACAGCAGCTTGATTTCAGGACATACTTTGAATGTTGCTAAGGTATTTCACCAGTTCTCCACTAGGCCTGTTGTAGACTCCAAAGGGACTAAGTTGATATGTGATGCCCAACGCATGTCACTTTACCATCTCTTATATCCTAACAATAAACACTTAACCTCAAGGTTTTTGGGTAATTGCAAATATTCTCAATCATTCCTGTCCCTATTCTCTCCCTTTATTTTTGTAGGTCTTCTTGCATTTTATGTGTAGCAAAATAAAAAAGAATCTGACTTATCGTCATAGTGGGAAAAACACTGCACATAAAAGCAGGGACACCCACTGATTATTTCCTCTATCCACCCCTATCAGTTTAACAAATCAGGAAAAATTGTGGCTATTTTCAAGAGAAGATACTTTACTGACAGTGATGGGCTTGAAGTAGGAAAATTTGTTCCCATTACCCTACTGTAAATGTTGCCTTCATTAACAGGGGTGAAAGGACATATTGTTGAAGGCAGTTTCTCTCTCTGAAATCTGCTGCCTTAGTTCAGGGAGACAAAGAGGTCCCCACAGAATAGGGCCCTAGAGCTTTACTTCACACCTGTATGATTTATTCCTTATTAGATAGAAGGAAACACAGTCCTTGTAACCCTCAGTACCAAGTGCATCTGTGCAAAAAGTACGATATCAGAGTTTTCAAGGGTTATCTCATTTTGTTAGCAACAGGAATGTGACCAGAGATACTTCTAGTTATGTGTTTTTAATCCACAAATCATATTGTTAGCGCACAACACCCTTTATGTAGATTCTACAATGGATTCTGGCTGATTAATGCACTCCGCCACCCTTGCCATGTTACCAACAGGTAATGTCCTAATGAGAGATTAATTTTCAAATGTGAAATCTGANTCCGCCACCCTTGCCATGTTACCAACAGGTAATGTCCTAATGAGAGATTAGTTAATTTTCGAATGTGAAATCTGGNCCTAATGAGAGATTAGTTAATTTTCAAATGTGAAATCTGGTCAACATTTTAATCCAAACTCAACATTTTTTAACACACATATTTAAAAGGTTTACTACATCATGCAAAATACAAAGTTGATTAGAATATCTTTACAATCCTATGAAGAAAGTACAGTACAGAAAAGTTATATCTTTACATCAACCAAGAAAACTTTAGCAATTGCATTTCACTCTTTTAGATCATTACAGGATTTAGGGGTGATCTCTGAAAAACAAACAAACACAGNCATTTCACTCTTTTAGATCATTATAGGATTTAGGGGTGATCTCTGAAAAATAAACAAACAGATAATAAAAATGCCTTCTGCAATCGTGGTTTTGTCCTTCACTGTTCAAGTAAAATCATGTGTCATCCAGTTGCAAAATCTTATTATTGGCAAAATGTATACATGTACACAAAGCACACTGCAAACGTAAAAAATTGTACCCAGCCAGGCCTGACAAACATTTTATAGACATTTCTAATCTAATCATTTCACCTTGTACTAGTAAATAATGTCATGATTTTCTACTTCTATTCATTTGCCAAGTTTTAGGAAAGAGTACATTCATACTTACAAACACACAACGTAACAAACCACGATAAATGGCACTTAAAAAACTGTTATGAAAGAGACTTGCCTGAAGTCATTTAATTCAACAAAAATTAATTTAACTCTGAAAAAAGGCTAACTGTAAAGAGATACATAATAAAATAGTACATTACAGAGGACATAATTGAACTTCATTTGAATTTTCATAAAACTACAGCACTTCTGTAAGTATTTCAATCGGTCTGTTCTTTGGTAAAAAAACAGCTCTGNGTACATTACAGAGGACATAATTGAACTTCATTTGAATTTTCATAAAACTATAGCACTTCTGTAAGTATTTCAATCGGTCTGTTCTTTGGTAAAAAAAACAGCTCTAGTTTCATAGTTATGTCATGTGAGGCTGCAATTAACAGGTGTGCTCCACAACGAGGGAAAATCAGACAGTCTAAGGAAATTGGCTACTGGTTACCCTTATTTTCAGCACTGGGAATGGAGAAATCTTCAGGGAAACAAGCTCCTAACACCAAATATTCTCTTTATTTTTAAATTGCCCAATGTGACAGAATGTCTGTCTAAGACTGCTTCTTTCTAAAATACACAACTTTTGGTTCTTCTTTTACAAAAAGTGGTTTGCTATACACGTACAGTAGCTTACGCTGGTGGCGACTCTTCAAAGTCAACTTCCTGGGCACTTGATGGCATCAGAATATCACTTTAAAGTGTAGAGTAATGCTAAATGCAGTTCATCACCTGAAACTACTACTATTAAAAAGAAGTCACATCAAGTCTTTGGTTTTGGTGAAGTACTTAAAAATCAGGGCAAGAGTTCCTCCCGTAATATATTCTGCTCCAAGGCCCTGTTTGCTTATATTTATACTACCCTTCAGCAAAATGCTCCTATTTTTAAAAAGCCAGTTGATTACAATCATGTCAATGCCAATGATTTGGGTGGGTGCTAAAATAATTTCATATTTCCAAGTATGTACATTTTGTAAACTGTTTAGTTCACCAAAATCAACAATTGATAAAAAATACTTTATTAGAAATGCTCCTATAAGTAATGCTATTTACCAAAAATAGTGTTTCCTTTCTCATAGGTGCTTGCATTCTTTTGCCATTTCTGATCAAGCTTTGGATTAAAACTTCTTTCTCATTTACAAATGACTTCCTCTTACTACGAATGGAGTTCTGAGTATACACAGTTGGGTCTTTACATCTGGGAGAGAATATGGCTTCATTCTTGTAAGATTATTGCAGTCTGCCCTGAAGTGGACTGTTGCTCCAGTTCACTACAACATGAAGTGAGTGTAACCTTCTGCCCCAGTAACTATAACATCCATCCAGATCCGCATGGCTTCCGGTGATGGGGCCACCATATAGTAGATTCTGTCATGTGTCTTGACACTAAAGGTGAGTAATGGATTAGGACTCTAAAAATCAAAAAGGGAAAAAAATTTAACACAAACATCTTGAAATTTTAGCATGAAATAACACTAGGGCTTCTTCCTCTTTGAAAGTTCCAATTTATGCAAGTCTACATAGGCATTACTTTTGCTCTAGTATAACCAACACCTTTCTCAAGACTGACTCTTTCTGGCTTTTCTGCACAAGAAGTTTCAGAGAGTTCACCAATCCTCTTAGCAGCTCCTTTGTAAAGCTCTAGGAGTGTGCCTAGGTGATTGTGGGTACTCAATAAATAGTAACTGTTATTCTTAGCCCTACTAAGATCCTCCCTCATAATCAGGGAGATCTTAGAACCCTAGCAAAGAGTGACTTGACAAGGTTTCTCCCAAACCAATATGTCTAGAACATTTCCTCACTTCACCTTGACTTTTCTAAAAAAAAATAAATGATAAATTATACTAATTACTTCTGTGTTTACTTTTCCAGCACCATTCCAGTTATATCTATCTGTTAATGTCAGAACAACAAATCTAAATAGCTTCAAAAAAAACCCAACAACATATATTTTCCCAACTTAATTATGCACTGAAAAATCAAAGTTTACCTTATTAGCATTCTTGAGGTGATCATAGTATACTTCTTCAATGGCTTGAAAGTATATTACTCCTTTTAATTTAGTTTCATGCTTATCTGCAACGACAGATGAGTGTTAAAATAAATATTTTATCACCACCAATGGACAGGAGAAATTGTAATTCATTATAATCATCATAAAAATATTTAGTATTAAAATTATCTAAGTTTAATTTAGATATTTTAGGTTAGTGCATTAGCCTGGCTTTATATTGAAAAAAGAAAGAACGACAAAAAGATGAAATTATCAGTCTAAACCAAAGGGTCTAAGTGACTTTGACCAAGGCTCTCCAGCAAATTAGCAGTCAAAACATAACCCAGAACTTCTGACTGTTGGCTTAACACACAAAGAATAAACACCACGGATATAGATACAAATTCTTTCTCCACATTCTCTAAGACATTGGAACGGAAATATCAATACGAAGAGCTGTTGTAATGAAATTTGTAACAATCGTGTTTTTCGACTCATATTTTTCTATCGTTTCTTGTCCAGCATGCTTAATTTATTTTCCTGTTCCCAGCAGAGCTTCACATCAACAATTTAATGTCCTTTCAATGCAGCATTTTCCAAACTGTTTCTAAGATTTCATCAGATTTGCCATAAAACCAAACAAAACATTTAAAAAAACCCCCAACAACCAAACAAATAAACATCACACTGTGATCTAATAAGTTCTTGAAATATTTTAAAATTTAGTGTCATCAAGAATCATAAAACATGAGCATATTAAAATTTTCTTACAGCGTAGATGAGGGTACAGAGAAAGAGACTCTATCATACCCTGTTGGTGGAAGTGCAAATTAAAAAAGCCTTTTTTGGAAGGCAATTTGATAAAACAAACAATTAAAAATGCAAAAAATTCTCTTACTCAGCAGTTTTCCTTCTAAAACTTTATTGTATAAAAGCTCCTCATGCACATGCACCCGGATTTGTATTTGTTAAAGCAGAAGCCTGCCAAAGATCTGCTTGAATTTCAACTGGGAACTGATTCAATAATAGACCAGCCATAAAATGGAATCTAACAGCCACTGAAAAGATGAAGGTAGGCCAGTATGTGCCCAGTAGAGAAAAATCTTGAAATATTGTGAAAAAAGTTATGAAGAGAGTGAATAATTGGGTCCCAACTGTATTAAAGAAGAAAGAACACATGTAACATACTGCCATGTATATATAAATGGAGAAAACCTAAAAGGAAACTTCAGGTGTTTCAGTGGGAAAAGGTCAGAACATTTGTGATGGTAAAGAGGCAATTTCTTTATAGAGATTTTGGTGAATTTTAATATTTTTTTTACTCATGAATGTCCCTTTTTTCCAACAACAATAAACACTGAGTTTGGAAAAAAAAACAAAAAAACCCCCCAAACTAGTAAGTTCAATAGAAAACTAGCTGTTCAATTGCATTTAAACCAGGGCATCTCTCAAACTTTGCTGGAAAGAGTCTGCATTATTCATGGGAATACAATAATATTTATTTTCTGAAAACAGATGCAGGATAAAATTGGGAGATAAAAGTAAATTTTTAAAAATTTAATTAATGAGTTAATCTTTATTGTTGAGATTATTACGGATGCCCCCCGTTTTCCCCCCATTGCCCCCCTTTACCCAGTTCCCACCCCACCCAAGGTCTTCACCACACTATTGTCTGTCAGTGTTTCAAGCAGGCAGAAAACTGGGGAATGAAACTTCTGTTTGTTAGGCCCTTCATATATGAGAAAGAACTCGGAAAAATATAGGCCTCACAAGGACACTTTGAACTAAGAGAATCAACAATCCCATTGTAAGTTGATGAGATCATGCTATTCATTTTGTTTCAGTAGCATTATCCTATCAATTGACAGACATATTTTCTGTGTCTCAGTTTTTTAGAGACTCTTCCAAAGTCACCCAGTTAATATGTGGAAGCCAAGTTCAGAGCCCAGGGTTCAAGGTCAACAGAGAGACGTAAGAATTTAGCTTTCAGCACTCCCTTTGCAGCTCCTTCACACATACCACGGTCATCTACCTCACTGACAGGCTGAAGGGCATGGCGAACACGGACCAAGTCCAGCCTGAACTGCAATCTCTATGACTTCGTGTGGACTGATCTATTCTTGAACTTGGTGGTGTTTTAGGAACGAGTTGGGGTGAAGGTGGAAGGAGCTGACACAGCTGATGATGGCTGTAAACAGAGCCAACTGGGTAGCATTTGCCAAACTAGGTCTCACCAGTCATATAAATATTAAAAAGTTGAATTAAATATGATTTTGTCTGTTTTATGCACTAGGATTCTGAGTAATCTTTCATATACCAAAAAGGTTTTGGTATTTATAAAAAATTGAAAACCAGTCACTAAGAAGTTTAAATTTGAAAAAACTCACTTCCATGGGTCAGAAGAAAGGGGCACTGAACCACCCACCTGGCTGACAGACAAAATGAAATAAGGATCCCAGAGAGGAGAAGAATGAAGCTGTTTGTTTGAAGTTATTTCAAAATTTTACTTTTGGAAAATTCTGGATGAGGTTGTCTGCGGAGACTATCATAAGGCAAAGTATTTTTTTAAATGCATTTTGCAGACACTAAATTAGCATTTCTTATTAAACAGGCATCTTTTCTATCGTACTAACTGGAGAATGTCTCTGAATTCCTATAAAACTCGTTTAGAAAGCCGCAGAGAGACAAAGTATGGGGCCTGTAAGGGTTAGGCAATTTGCTCAGGCCACTTAGCAACCACAGTAACTAGAACCCCACCCAAAGAACTCCCAATAAAAGGCATGTACCCCCATGCTCTCCTCACCCCAAATCTGGAGCTCCATAGCCAGTGTTTCATGTCTCTCACACGCTTCTTGGTTTCTCACACCTCTCTTCAAAACATACCCTGACCTCACACTATAGATTAAATGGTTGGACTGTTATGTTTTACTTATCACATAGAAACTCTTTTTAACAATTCCTGACAATGCTTATAAATGCTGAGGCAGTCACCCCAAAGCAGAGTCTCTTTGTGACCTCTGGGATGGTACCACCCTCTTCAGCAGCTGAAAAGAGGCCAGAGCTTTATTGTGGCAATAACAGACATGTTTCACATGCAATCAAGAGTAAATGAGAGGCTTGATAAGTAAGCCAGTCACACCAATATTCCTGTATTTATGGAGGATTACGTAGGGTATGTTCTTCATAATCCATCATTTAAAGCAGCCAAAAATATTTCAGTCACTTAATAAATACTTATTTATTCACTAGTTCACTGATAAGCTTTACTCTCTGTGCTTAAAAGACCATTCCAGTGTATAAACTATAGCTGAATGACTGTCAGCTACGGCTGTCTAATTGTGAGTGACTTAAATAGGCCATATGACCATAAATAAATAAACAGAAAATTTTTTTCTGGCCCTGTGGTTTAAAAAGATAATAGTTTGGTCTCAAAAATAGATTTTATTTAATATTTATTTGGACTTGAGTTTATTTCAGAACTAGAATAGACTAATGCACACTTTTTAGATAACATAATTTCTATTATTTCTAAGAGGAGAGTCATATAATGTGGACCATAAAATCTGAACATAAAATAATATACACTTACAAAGTTAATATTGCTATTATTTCTATTACTTACCAATCTCGCTATTTATAATGAATCTTACTGTCTTTGCTCTTTAACAGAGGGTTCCTAATTTGAATATATCACTTAGATTTTTTTCATCACCCACCTGCATAATAAGAGAATGTGCGCTTGTTCCGATCAAAAACAAACCAACGTTTTTTCCAAGTTTTAATTTTTCCGCCCATTTTGATGAGGAATCCCCGACAGGTCTTCTCTGTGATGGATACGTGATAACAGGTATCGATATTGTGGCCCGCAGTCTCCACGTGGCTCCGCAAATCAAAATCTTCCTTCCGGACGGGCAGGTAGCGTGTCAAAGGACGAGCCTGGAAAAGGGCACACCCATTGCATCTGTAACTAATTATTTGTTTCGTTTTAGGTCACAGATGTGCAGAAGCAGAAAAAAATGAAAAGCCTAAAAAATGAAAATGCCCATGTGATTATGAGCACTTAAGATAAATTCATCATATGAGGTCTGAAAAGTGGGTAGCATTTTAAGAAGGATGCTGCAATATGGGGGGTGAGAGAGTGGATAAACCCAGGCCAATAGATTCTACGTCTTGAAATGGAAAAATGTCATTTATCTTAGCTTTCAAAAAGGTACTTAGCACTTCAAAACACAGGGAAATGAAGTATGAAGTTGCCTGGACAGCTTCCTACAGATGAGGACTCCTCCACTGTAAAGTTCCCAGGAATTCTCCCCAACCACAACCTCACAATAGTTCTTAAATAATCTCAGACATGATCGATGGAACATTCTTTAGTAAGTACAAACTCCACAAGATCCCAAAGCTGTACACCTCGGTTTCCATACGCTCTCTAATAGAAATTGAAGGCAGAGATGTATGTTTTGCAAAGTGAAGCTAAAATAAGGTAAGAAGTGGAGTCAAAATGCTGTCCAGGACCAGGCACTGAAGAGACAGACATAGTTGTCTTTTATTTTACTATGGCTGGAGTAGAGGTTGATCTAATCTAAGAAGCACAGATCACCATGGGTAATATTTCTAAAATAATGCTTTCTTTTATTCTGTTAAATTACCCCACTCCTTTACCCTGGAGAAAATGATCTCATCATATACTTGGAGGCAAAACATGTAATTAGGATTAAAATAGAATTGTGATTTTTGGTTTGGCTTCAGATACCTTCACGGTGAATCAAAATTTGGCAGAGGGATGGCATAATAAGATAAAATGAACACGTTTTACTTGGTAGTTCTTCAATACTTTGCCTTTGATTCTGGGGTACTGTGTAGACAGATGTCACACACTTATGATACATCAAAGCCTTAAAGAAAGTCTCTCAATGCTGTATGGTCAACTGCCAGCAACTACAAAGAATAAGGGAAAGGGTATTTTTTTACCTTTAAGTCTAGTAAACTTTGGTAAAACTGATTTGAACTTTATATTACATGGGCTTAACAAAATTGTGTTAGAGTTTCTCAGAAAACATACATTATGTAAGCAGCTCAAGTGACAAGACCAGAAATTCAAACTCTGTGATGGCCAAGATAGGAAGTTAAACAGAATGGGTGGCTTTCCCAAGTTTTGCTACAGTTCAGTAATTTTGTGCACATATGTGTGGGCTGGTGTAGCAAAGGTGACATGTGTGATAATACAGTGGTAAGAAAAAACGAACAAACAAACAACACACTAACACCACCGCCAAGAAACAGGGCTGGTAAAATTACCCTTTTCTCTAGTGTTTGCTTCGTAAAGATGGCTTAATAGGCCCCCTTTTCTTCTTCAACCAAAGATTTTAGTTAGGGTGCTGTATTTGTTTTCAGCAGCAAATCCAGCTGCAATTTTTCAAAGATGCTAAAAAAATTATATTCTACTTTAAAATATAGTCCAAAAAATGGGTAGATGAAAAAGTATCTTTCCCATCAAATGTTCCCTGCATGAGCAGAAAAGTGTCTTTTGATTAGTAGGTCCTCACTAAGTTTCAAAATCAACATTTTTTTTTAACTGCTAACTCACATCTTTCCCTTAGCCATTACATGTCAACAGCTGGTTCCTGGAAGGCCTCCCGACACTGCATTACTACCCTCTACAAACAGCCACTAGGGGGCAACATACTCTTATCTATCCAGACGGACCCACCAACCTGTGCCCTTTGTTTCTCCCTTATTTTCACTTCCTTTTCAATTAACTTCTGCCTCTGGCTAGTTTCTTCCTGCAATCGCTTTTCCAGGAGTTCTCGGCGTCGTTTCTCTTCTTCCAGAGCTCGTTTTTTGGCTTCCATTTCCCGTTCCTAAATGTCATCCGGCAGAATAAATTTTAAGACATACTGGTTATACATGAATGATTCCAAATAATATCATAAAGGAAATTTTTACTAGAAATTTTGGGTTATAATCTTGTCCCTTACGATCTAGAACCTGGGCGAAAACACCCATAAACCACTTCTCACATAGCTTTCAAAATCATCCTATGCAGAAAGGCAACAACTAACTTTAATTAACAATTGGATAGAAGCGAAAATCCAGCTCATGATTACAAAAATTCAGTCATTTCATGTTGATGACCACAACTCTCCCATTTTTAATAAAAAGCCTCATAAATTGTCAGTCGACACCGAGTCATGAGATTTAGCCTTTCTTTCAATTGCTGCCTCCTAACTGAAGGTCATGCATGGGTCTTTCCAATTCCTGTTGTTGCTCTGAGGCTTCCTGGCTGAAGGTCGCAGAGGAAGCACAGGGGGAAGTCAGAAGAGGAAAGGAGGTGCCCCTAGGGCAGGATGCAAAGGCATTCTGGGGGATTCCTAAGGAAGCTCAGATTCTGGCTTGAAATACAGTCACAATAATGAGGGATTTTAAATGTTACAATAGTGTAGTTAATGCAAGCTGGCAAGGAATGGAGAATGCTTAAAGACACGGCATTCCTCCTCTTACTTTGGCAGCCAAACAAAGTGGCTATCAAAGGGAAAACATAATACAAAGCAGTCATTTGGGTCTATCTCAACACTGTATCTATTTGCAACTATGAAAAATTGTAGTGCTAGAAAGATCCTTAGAAATCATCGAACACCCTTAGTTTCCTGATAAGAAAATGAGGCCACACTGCTGAGTGAGGCCCCGGGACAGCTTCTTGGTGTCAAGTGCAGAGCACCCTGAACCCCCACATCACTGACCTCTGGCATCATGAGCTTAAACCTACCCTGGACTCCAGCAGCCGCGTCTTCTCTGCATGAGCCTGCTTCAACAGTCTCTCCATTTCTTCTATTCTGGCAATATTTGAAGTGCTGGCGCTGCATGAAACACAGAAGCCTTTTGAGAATATTGTTTCAGGTTGAGATCTCCTCAGACACACACACGCAGGCTCATGAAGGTGTATGAAAAAATCCAATACAGTGTAAAGGACAAAGAGAACCATTGGTCCGAAGAGGCAAATTGTGGGTGAAAATTGTAGGTGATACTGACCTCAGTGTAGGAGACAAAATACAGGCAAGCAAATTAACGCCGAAGTAAAGTGTTTACTCATAAACAAACAAACCAAAACCAAACTTTACAAAGGGTGTTCTTAAAATGCTTCCTGCAAAGTCTAAAAATTATGGCCTGTGGGAGGCCTTCCCATAAGCTGAATTATTTAGAAATGAGAGACCAACAGGACTCTCACTAAAGTTCCACCCAGATAGATGACACGGTGTTAAGTCGCTTTATTTGGCTTGAGAATATGTCTCATTAGTTGCTTTTTTGTTGTGCTTTCACATTTGTGGACATTTTATTTCTTAAATGATGATGCCAATTAAAAAATGACTTGTCTTCTTATAGGTGCAATGGGAGGGTGGTGGCCAGTTTTGTCAATAATACCCACCCGCCATACCAATGAACAAGCTGCATAAAGGGATCCAAAAGCTTCAAAAGAAATGCACCTTGGGAAAGACATCACACAAATAAGTAAAGGAAAAAAACCCGGAGGAAGTGAATGCTGTAAGAACAGTTAGGGGTAACTAAGTGAGAAGGAGAAGAACTTGGAAATGCTTATCACTAAACAAAAATTTCTATTTTTCACTAGCTTGCATTTTATTTCATTTTTGGAAAAGAGAGACCATAGCTGAGGTCAAAACATATTTGCTCTGATGTCCCAGCCATGGAGAACCAAAGTTGTTTCTTATGCATGTACACACGCTTAATCATTTACAATATTTGTCTTCTTTTCCAGACTCTTTTGAGGACAGAGAGGCTTTGTGCCTCTATCTCCCATAGCGTAGGGCCTGGCACAGAGTAGGATTTTGTGTTTGTAAGATATTCACATAAAAATGAATTCAAATAACATGCATAAGATAATTGTTAATATGGTTTTCCAAAATCATATTTTGGATCATCTCACACCTAGGCTGTTTTGAAAAGATAAATGACCGCAGTAACACAGGACATGTGGTTTATCTTAAAATCAGTACTGTGAACACAGATGTTTTTAGCAGCTTTATTCATATTTGCCAAAAATTTGGAAGCAACCAAGATGTCCTTCAGTAGATAAACGAATAAATAAAGTGTGGTTTATCCAGACAATGGAATATTATTCAGTACTAAAAAGAAATGAGCTATTGAGCCACGGAAGGACATGGAGGAACCTTAAAAACATATTACTAATGGAAAGAAGCTAATCTGGAACAACTAAATACTGTATTACTCCAACTATATTACAGTCTGGAAAAGGTAAAGCTATGGGGACAGTGAAAAGATCAGTGGTTGACAGTGTTCTGAAGGGGGAGAGGGAGGAAGGGATGAAAGGATGGGGCACAGAGGATTTTTAAGGCAGTGAAAATACTTTGTATGATATTATAATAATGGATACTTAAATCCACAGACTGTACATCATCAAGAGTGAACCTTAATGAAAACTATGGGCTCTGGGTGATCATGATGTGCCAATGTAGGTTCATTGTTAACAAATGTATCGCTCTGGTGGGGATGTTGATAATGGGGGACTGTGCATTAGGGGGGCAGGGGGTATGTGGGAAATTTGTACCTTCCTCTCAATTTTGCTATGCATCTAAAACAATTTGAAGTCTTAAAAAAAAAAAAAGCAATCAGTGCTGCCAGCCTCATTAGAAAATGCATCTATCGAGGAGAGAGATAGCCTTAGGAATGCTGAATCCTTAGAAGCCTAACAATTAGGCTGCACTTCTTTCCGCCAAGTTTTAGCCAGGTGTTTTCTCCTGAGAAAAAGAATATGGCGAATACTTTTCATTATTTCCATGAGCTGTTGGGGCAGGTACAAATGGGTAAGTTCTGTTCTCTTCAGCCAGCAAGAATTAAAAAAAAAACAAACTTAATTTTTGTGCAGAAATTTGTGTTCCCCTTTATTGAAAATACCCAACTTCATAAACAGCAAAAGGGACAAGCTTTATCAACTCAACTGAGAAAGCCATGCAGGCGATATCATAGCATGAAATTATGTTTACATTCTACGGCAGTGATTTTCAACCTTTTCATCTCATGGCACACATAAACTAATTACTAAAATTCTGGAGCACACCAAATAATATATTTTTTGCCAATCTGACCAAAAAATGGGTATAATTTTTATTGATTCACACTGGATGACTATTATGCTGGCTGTTGTCATTTTTTATGTGGCAATCTAAGGGAAAAGAGGTCAGTCAGTACCCCTAGCTAAATAGTCAGGTATTGAATGTTTTAAAATTTCTTGCGGCACACCAGTGTGCCTGCTACAGCACACAGGTTGAAAATCGCTATTCTAGCCCAGCCGGGTGTGGCTCAGTGGTTGAGCATCGACCTAGGATCCAGGCGATCGGGGTTCAATTCCCGGTCAGAACACATGCCCGGGCTGCGGGCTCGATCCCCAGTCAGGGGCGTGCAGGAGGCAGCCGATCAATGACTCTCTCATCATTGATGTTTCTTTCTCTCTCTCTCCCTTCCTCTCTCTGAAATCAATAAAGATATATTTTTTTAAAAAATTAAAAAAGAAAATCGCTATTCTATAGTGTTGTCTGTGACATCAGATATGGATATCTTATGTCTACAATTAATTTGGAAATAAATAATCTATGTTTCACTAAGTCTCAGGTCTTAACTGACCAATTAAAACAAAACAAAACCCCACACACATAGTCTAACCCCCATTTTTCCCTTAGTTTTTTCTACAAATTCCATTTTTCATCTAGCTTGTGCCCTGAACATTGTTACAGAAAACTCACTGTGTCCACTTCTTCCTTGTTTGGACAGCATTGTTAGAATCTTGATTCCTACGGTGAATCAAAGTCTATCTTCCTACAGCTTCCATTCACTGGCCCAAGTGTGACCCTGAAGCCCCATGAAACCTACCCAGATGAATTGGTTGCAAATAACTTGGTTAGAAACAAATTATTTCAGTCCATGGTTTTTTATATATTTGCAATTTGGGATCCTCCTGGGGGTAAGTTTTCAAACATTTATCCAACTCTAAATATTTCTGTTCATATTTTTAGAATTTTTTAGGGTGTTCTCTATTTTATAATATTTCTAATTAATTATCTGCCAATTGTATACATTCTATTTATTTGGCAATGTTCTCATAAATGTCTTCATTTTTGCACCAAATGAACTGAATTTTTTGAAAATACTTGATAGAAAGTACATGCTAACACTGATCACTTCATGTCTTCATTGATTTTAGGCACCTAAAGTCAACTATTTTTTTTTTTTTTAAACCATACCATATACACTTTAAAAGGTACTTAGTTATCTTATTTAAAAATGTAAATTAATTTTTATCCATAGACACTTACTTGTTCTCCATAGCCACACTTTTGCTATTGTTGAGTTTTAATATTTCCTTGACATTTAAACCACTTTTATTCAGCAAAACTTTTTCCGCTCTATGATATTATGTTGCCACCATTTGATAAGAGAGTCACTTAAAAAAAGAGTCAGGAAGCCACTGAGGAAGTGGGGCCTGTGCAGGTCTCCTGCCTCAGTTCTCAGAGCTGCTATTAAGTTGTTAACTTGTTGCCAAGCTCAGCTAAAGGCTGAGCCATAAACATCCTGGAACAACTGCTGTATGAGCATTTATGGACTTTTACTCCCTCCTCATAATTTTGACTCCCTCACTTGCAAATTGGAACTATCCAACCCCTGTATTCCAGATCCCTTCATTTGCAGGGGGGACTAGAATGGGAACCATATTTGTACATTTTCACCTGTATAAAACCCTCCCTTTCCTTGTTCTCTTACAGCACAACTGAGGTGGTTGTCTGAATCTAGGCCTCCTGGGTTGTAAACATTTTTGTTCAAATAAATACTTTTTGTTCTTTATTGCAGCCTGAACCTTTTCTTTGGTTAACACTATCCAGGGTAGAAAGCAAAATATAAACCTTCGCCTAAAATGAAGGGATCAGAAGCACCTAAAATTCTGGTTCAAATATCTTTTAAAACCAAGTTCAGCAATGGATTGCTTTCAATGCTGTTCCCAGTGTTATTTCTCCCTCCACACACACACTGCTGGTATGCAAGCTGTCATGAGCGATCAACTTTCTCAACATTTTCTAAAAATATGAGCACACAGTCAGGCCTTAGTAAGTTAATAATGGCAATAGTATTAATAATGTATCATTGCAGGTGGTATTTAGAACCCTACATTCTATAAGCCAACTCAGTAATTCTAGCAGAATAGAGGTTTTATGCAGAATCAACTCTTAGTTATTGTTTTCTGAGACCCGAGACTTGTTTTCTTCACTCTATGTTTATTTATAGTGTAATAATGCTGAAAAAGCAAAAACACCGTCTGGCTCAAGTAACTTTCTGATAGACACAAAAATGATGTCTCAACAAAAACTGAAGGGCAAATGTACCCACAAGTCTGAGGAATTCTATAATTCTACAAATGGCTTTTTGGGACATCATAAACCACAAGAATATGTTTATGTCACTAGAATTTTAGCATGCCATTACCTCTTTAAAATACGTATAATTTCAGGGTATTTTAATACATAATTTAAAAAATATTGAAAAGAGAAAAATTTTAGTCCTTTATTTCTCTTTCTGCCTGTCTTCATTTATTTTCCTTCATAACAATGGGTGTAAGTTTATTTTAGGGTAGCATGAATTTTTTTCAAGGTAGATGGTGGCACAGAGGAGCTTGTTTTTCTCTCTCCCCCTTTTCTACTAGACCTTTTACAGGCATCTTCTACTTTGACCTTCCGAGGATCTGGCAGCAAAATTAAGTACATGCTGTTAGTAATTTCTGACTGTAGCGATTGGTTAGTGATTGGTTATCCGCAATTGCTGTTAGTGATTGGTTATCCGCAATTGCTAGCACCACCAGGTCAGCTCTGTGTGAAGTGACTATGGAACACTCTGCAGCAGTGCTGTTTTCCGAATGTGGCATGTTCAGTGGAAACCTCCTCATTTTCTACCCCTGGAAACCATTCTCAGAAAAAGCAACTGAATGTGCAAATAAAAATAAATTCAGGTTTTGCTGGTCGCTGTGTTTACGTGTTCGGATCTGAACTTCAAATGCTTGGCAGACACAGTGGCAGGGGCCCGGTTTCTGGTGATTCCCTGGACTCCCTGCTGCAGGCTGCTGTTTACCATTGAACAGGGGAGACTGGGTGGGGAGCGAGGACTTGGAAGGACGCGTATTTACTGCTCATTTTGGAGGGAAAAAAGAGGCGGGAGCACAACCCAGAGGGAGAAAAACCATCAAGATAGGAAAACTGAGTGTGTTTCCTTATGAAAGGCGCCTCGAAATGGAAAAGAAACAGGGTGAAGCCGTCAAGAGTTCATCATCGGGATAGTGTCGTCATAACATGTGCACAATTATTAGAAAGAGAGGAGGGTAGTCTGGTGTTTTGGAAATAGCGATGAGCACAAAGCGCCAAAGCACCGTGGGCAGGCCGTCTGAGGCCGCCACCTGGGCAACCCGGCGGCCGCGTTCTGTGGTCTCCCGTTTCGCGCCCGGCTTTCACTCCCCATCATCCTTATATAATAGTTGCTGGGTTACTGACTTTGGTTTGTGTCTCCTTCTTCAAAAATTCCACATCGAATTGATGGGTTACACTGGACAATAGTCATTTATGAAGGACTTGTCAAAGCTCCAGGATTTGTCCTGACAACGTGGGCTCCCAGCACCCGCGGCAGGGCTCCCGCAACCTGCCAGGGCGCGGGCGCCACCGAGCGCCTCGGGGAGACGGGCGCGGGCCGCTCCACGCTCAGGCGTCTTCCCCGAAACGCTCGTATCGCATTTATTTAAAGTGAGATGCTGCACCTTCTCATACTGAATAATAAAGTGAAACATGAACCCTTCTAACATGAGATAATAATGACAGCGAAAGTATAATCTCTGCTGGCCGCGCGTGGCTCAGCGGTTGAGCATCGACCTAGGATCCCCGCGATCGGGGTTCGATTCCCCGTCAGGGCCCAGGCCCGGGGTGCGCGCTCGATCCCCAGCAGGGGGCGGGCAGGAGGCAGCCGATCAATGACTCATCATTGATGTTTCTCTCTCTCTGTTTCTCTCTCTGAAATCAATAAAGATATATTTGAATATATATATACATATATATCTAATCTCTATTCCTTATTATTATTACATAATTCCCTCCTTAAATTTAGGTCATTTCCATGTGACAAGCAATAATGCAATTATTACGGTTGCTTTTGTGTTTTTCCCAGGAACACCTTTCCTTTTCTGATAGGATATATCCAGTAATATTACTATTTCACCCATTAATGCCAGAATCAAATACACTGTACTCTATTTACCACAGAACATAGTATCTGCCTTTTTCTTCTTTTCCTCCACACCCCAAATTTCCTGGCTATAATGTCTGTTTACATTTGGGTCTCTCATATTCTTTTCATTTATGAAACACTAACCCAAAAGCTAAGTTTAACTTGCTAATATTACTTTTTCTCTGCCTCAGTCACTTATTTTTTGGGGGGGTGGGCAGGTAGTAAATTATTGAAACCTTTGTAAAAAAAGAAATTATATCTAGATGATGGAAATTTTCCATCAAAATATTTAAAAAGCCATCACTCTTTGTATTCAAGAAATAATCCCGCCATTTCACAGGCTAGCAAATCAGGGCTGAGAGAAGTGTGAGAGCTGCTTTAAGGAGCAAGTATTCCTGTTCCCAGCTGGGGCTCCCTTCCAATATAGGGAAGTTTGTTTGACGGCAATTATCCAACTAAACATTTCCCTTTGAGACACACAAGTGCTCGATTAACATTTATTGAATATTGCTTTTTTTTTTTTTTGGTTTAATGGTTCTCAGCCAATTAAATAGATCAAACACAGAAAAATATAAAAATTAAAAATATATCCATTTTACTACATCCTGGGTTATTTATTTAGCCAACACTTATCAAATACCTACTATATGCCAATATCTCTACTGTGTGTGGAAACTGAAAGATGATTAGGCATCTTCCTTAATACCGAGAAATTCACCAATTAATTATTGAAGAGAAAATTTATACTGCAATGGGACGAGTGGTATAACAGGAAAAAAGTATCTAGTGCAATGGAAACACAGAAGAAAAAGCCCCGAAGGAAAAAATTTTCATGAGTTTCCAACTTAAGTTTGAGCTTCAAGGATGAGGAGAATTTCTCTAGGCTCAGAGGGGAGTGGGGCGATGGGGTGAATAGATAATTTACAATCCCAGACAAGATCAGTGCTCAGTAAGTGCAGGCTGAGTGAGTAAAGCAAAGGATCGCATGAGCTGACTATAGACAGTGGTGTGCTGGTAAACCAGCTCTCTGGAGGAAAACAAAAACCCTGATGAGTAGCTATCGTCGATTTATGTGGAATGTATCCTCCCACCATGGCCAATCTCAAACTACCCACATGACATCACTGATCACAGAGTCAGGAGGAGATGTGCACTTTAGGCACCTGCCAGCCAGGAGAGGCCAGCTCCAGCCCACCGCTGACTGCACAGCAACCCACACATTGCTTGTGGAATGAAGGGGCCTATAAATGAATGAATGAACAAATTACACGATTCCAGGGCAGGGAGCAATATGGTCAAAGGCACAGAGATCTGAGAATTCATTGCCCTGTCAATTAATAGGAAGCTCTGTGAGATGTATCAGGAGGGGAGAATGAAGCTAGGATGCCACGATCTGGGGTCTGACTTTATTCAAAAGGTGGTAGGGCCTCATCAAAGCTTTTGAAGAGAAGGGGTACCATGACTAGATCTATGTTTTATTTTATTTTTTTAAAATATATTTTTATTGATTTCAGAGAGAGGAGAGGAGAGGGAGAGAGAGAGACAGAAACATCAATGATGAGAGAGTCATTGATCGGCTGCAGCCCGCAACCCGGGCATGTGCCCTGACCGGGAATCGAACCCTGATCGCCTGGATCCTAGGTCGACGCTTAACCGCTGAGCCACGCCCGGCTGGGCTAGATCTATGTTTTAAAAGCAGCTTTAGTCATCATTCCATGAAAACACCTTTGCTTGCCTCAATGTATGAACACAAACGTGAATAGTTAAATCCTTACAACAATTTTAATATGCAGAACAGCTACAGACTCCCTTTTAATAAAACACAAGTGTAAGAAATCCTTCAAAGTTCTTATTCTGTTGTTGAAAATTATTTCTTTCTTTAATCAAAAGCTTCATTCCTCATGAAGCTTAGAGTCAACCAACAGAAGCCAAACAACTCTGAAGCACAGTATACCTGTGAGCTTAAATGTAAATAATGAAGAAAGATGAATTATATGATGTCTGACCGGCTAAGTCACACAGGATACAAAGAAATTACTTTCAAAGATCACCATGACACCCAACCGTTTTCTGCATTGTAGACTTTATGTTTCATAAATTTGGGCTTGTACAAATACATACATTGCCCCAAATTGAAGTCTTTACTTTTTGAAACCAGCAGGTACATCTCCAAACCATAAACTTTACCTACAAATAAATCTTACCTAGAAATATTGTCAGGTGAGCAAGCAGAGATGCTGGTCTCCATGCTATCAGAGCTGTCTAGGCTCAAAGTATCAAAGGCCTGGTCCTTGTAGCCGTGATCTGGGTAGTGGAAACTGTTCAAGTAGACATTTGATTCAGATGCTGTGCGGTTGTAAAATTCAGAAGATTTCTGCCTTTGTCCTTCACTCATCTGTTGGTGATTATACCCTAAGGAAAGAGCCATAAATATGTTACTGTGTCTCATTTTTCAGTCTTAGATCTTATAAGACTCAAACTAGCAACCCAAAACATCTGCCTATGAAACTTGGCCCTTGGTCTAATTTATTTTGAAGCCAAGAAGATCAAAGAAACAGCATCATGCTCAGTGCAAGCAAGAGTTTCAAAGAAGTGGTCTTGTGAGTGATCTTTTTTTGTCAGTGGATCACTTGACACTTTCTTATGCCATTCCCACATCTCTGCACAACTGAGAATAATATATCAGCACACACAAAACACAAAAAAAACAAAACAGAAGCACAATTTAAGGCCCTGAATACTCTCAAAATAGCTGGTTCAAATCAAAGCAAAAGGACTCCTAGTGATAAGCAACAGCAGGGCCTTAAGGCAGTCACCTCACCTCTTCAATGATACTCATATTTAAGGGATACTGGATCTGGTCATAAAAGAGCAGGTCAATCATCTCGGCATAGGATTTGAGAAACCTGTCATTCATGCACCAACACTAACACTTTTAATCTGGTTAAGAGACAAATTGTACATTTTTCTCACTTTTTTCTTTTCAATTTCCCTTGTCTGCCAATTACTTATTTAAAACATTCAGCGTCAACAATCCTTTCAATGGTTGTACTCCTCCTAATTACTCTCTCTATATAGTAAGTCCTAACATCATCAATAAGTTCTTGGAACTGTGGTGAAAAGACCATAAGAAAACCAATTTCATCAAAACAGGCTAAATGGTATAAACAAGAGTTAAGTTTCTACGGCATCTCATCAACATTATAACAAAACGACATTATTAGAGGACCTGCTGTACATAGCTGTCTTCTTTTTCTACCTGAACCATCAGCCTTCCACCAGTTGGTGATATCAACCACATGACAATGTAGGAGCTACATCGATAGCAGCAAAGGTGTCATTACTGAGAGGTGTTCTGCTTACCCTGGTACCTGGTTAGCTGCACATTAGGTCATTGGCTTTACTTTGTGTTATTGCTATAGCTTTCTCTCTGGTAGCTGAGCACCATAAATCAAGTTAGTCTTTCCTCTCAATTCTCTATGCACCATACACTGAGGAAGTAAGGGTCATACTGATAAACAAATTCTTCTGTTCATTAAAAAGATGTTGCTCTAGCCAGTACTGTAGTTTGCGATCTTTCTCCCTGAGTAAACTGACTATCAGATCTACTAAGAGTTTACAATTGGGCCATTTGAATTTTGTCTCTTTCCTTGTGCTTTGCCTATTTTTCAATAAGGCTTTTAATTGGTAATGAAATGTCTGAGAAACAGGCAAGAGGGTGAGAGAATGCAAGTGATTCCAAACAGCTTCCTCCGCTATTGATTAAACATTTCCATTTAAAACCAGAAGCCACATCCATGATGCAAAGCGTCACACACCAAAGCTTACTGTAGAGTGATTTTAGGTATATGAGGAGTTTTCAACATTAGCATTTGGAGCAGTTTTAGCTATCTAAGTGAAAATATGTTAGTTCAGATTAAGACATCTTCTGGGAAAACAAATCCCCTTAATATAAATTATAATTTTAAATTATAAATACCAACACACACATATATATGTAAAAGCTACATATCACTTAGCTAAGGGAAGATGCAAAATATAAATGCACACCATGAGATTTTAGGCAGACTATCGTTAATTGTAGTAATTAACGCATAAAGCATTAAATGAAGCCAGTACAGTCATGAGCGTGGAGCATGTGCCTTTTTTTTTTTTTTTTTTAAAAAAAGAAAGGCAAAATAATTCATTACTCAAATATTTACCTTTGATATCTGAACTTTTAGAATTACTAATTGCTCCTTTTAAAGTGTTTCCAATTACTCATTATGAAAAGGAGGGTGACCAAAAACACCCACCAGCAATTATTTGAAAAGGTCATACATGTATCTTGCCTTATGCTTTCCAAAGAGGTTTGTTGGCAAAGAAAACTTCCACATTGACGCCAACTACATGGATGACATTTTCTTGTTTTACTCTGAAAAAACAAATCCCTAAAAGACAACCATGTAATTTGAAAACATACAATAATTATCTCCTGGGCAATGACATGTGCTGGGCCACAACTTCCACTTTGCCTCCGGTTTTTCATAATGAGGAAAAGTCAATCCCTACGATGCAACTAATACTTCCTTAGAAAAGCAGAAAGGAAGGTGAGTATATTTCTTCTTAAAACAACCCATGCCCTGCTCCTCAGATCTTCCAAGATTTCTTTTTTCCCCCCCAAAAGTATTGCAGAATAAGAAAATGAACTTACCACCTTCAGGTGAGGCAGACAGTAAATTAAAATGACACAAAATTTTCAGACGTGGGCATGAGGGAAGGCTGTGTGACAAGGTATACTGTGCTAAGGATTGTGCACATAAATTCCCCAGATCACCTCACTATTTGTTGAGGTTTGGCTCTATGTCTCAGAGAATCTTCCATCATTCTGGTGGTAAAATAAGCCTTACATTTTCGTGGCAACTTAAATGAAAAAGCCTGCTGCTAAGGAGCATATCTTTCACAATGCAGGTTTTTTGTTTCCTGCGGATCCAATGTGAACAGAAATGCTCTCCTTGATAGAGCTTCTAAATTTCTCCCAACTGGCAATGCCTTACTGATCACAATGAACTCCACTGTTGCCTGACTTAGACTCCTTCCTCCTGAACAATTCCAAAAACACCAAATTGCCCCTGCTATTACAAATATGGGCATGGAGCTCCCTTTGTGACCCTGGAATTGTACCAGTGTGATTCCAAAGAGCGGGTCTGGGGATTCAGGCTCAGGTCTGGCCATCCAAAGGTACAGGCACTTCTGATAGAGAAAACACCATAGGAGAGCAGGAGAGGGAGGTCACCCTGCTAGGAGGCCCAAGGAGAAGTGCTGGAGCAGCGAAGCAGCAGGAACAGGTGTGCTTTAGCAGGGAGGGCACACCTATGTGCTGTTCATTGTAGAATCCCCATCAATTAGCGTTTGGATGTCATGAAGTAAGGAGTCACCCAATGAATTCATTTTCTCACCTATAAATGGCAACCGAATTAGTGGCTAAATAAAGAAGTGGAATGCATTTACTGTTCAGGGTGGGACAAAGTAAATGGACTGGGAAAAAATGAGGCTTTCCTAACCCCTGGGACTGCTTGCTTGGTTTTTAAGTTGTGCTGCAAGAATAATGTTCAGCAGTGTACAGCAACTAAAAAGTAAAAAGGGCCTTGTAAATGCTTCAAATCCTCCCTATCCAGACAGAAAGAGCTATTATAAAGTGAGACTTGATAATAGCTGAGTCACTAAGCATAGCACATACAAGGACCCCAAACAAGCTAAACTCTCTCCACTACCCAAGAAGAGGCAATATTTTACAGGTGCAAGGTCCATTTATTATTATTATTTTCAACGCCAGTCTCTGTGAATTCTGGCTAACTGGACCTGAGAAGTCCTGTGTGAGTTGACCACTGTGAGATATAGTCTTGTCAATTATTTTCCAAATGTGTGGTATGTACTTTAAATGACTATCTAGGCCTTAATACAGAAAACGAAATGTCTCGAAATTATAACCTATGTTTAAGAGGGTAAAAGGGACCTGTATTTCGGGCAATTCGGCCTTTCATAGCTCACCTGCTGCGAAATTCACTCTTCCTAACAGAGTCCACAGCCGGAAGACGAAGGCACAGGACAAGGCAGGAGTGAGGAGAGTGACAGAGAAGGGGAAAAAGATACAAGATCAGAAAGGATGAACAGGGAACAGGAAACAGACACAACACTTCCAACATGCAGTCATTGACGGTGTTAGTGACCACCCAGGCTGACGAGGCAACATGTTCACATGGTTAGATTAAGCCTGAGCTATAAGAACTCAAGAAGTCAAAAAACCCATTAATGAACTTATGATACATGCACACAGTCAAAAAACATCTGTTCAGGGGAAAAAAGTCTTTCACACACATTGGTCAACCGGAAAACAGGGAGAATAAGACAAGATTATATCTATAAAACAGTTCTTTTTTCCCATGCAGACAGTAACGAATCGTTTTTAAGAGCCGAGGTTTGTAAAATGCCATTCGATTATTTGAAGCAGCGTCCATCACATCGTATAACTCAGTCCTCTAACACCCTACGTCTCTACCAGCTAGCCACAGTAACTGCATCTTATTGATTCAGGCCACCGTCTCTTTCATATAAAATAGTCTTAAATGGGATGATTAACTAGGAGCCCTTTACGTCTTTCCACCCTCCCATGTAGCCTGCTTTATTTGTACCCTGCCTTTAGAAAGGAGTGACCTGTTTTACACTTAGCCTATGCACACAAGGCCCGCTCTTTTCTTTATCTGGATCCCGAGTCTTACAAAACAATGCTTCCCAAGCACTCATGTTTCCTGCGTGGTCTGACCTTGTCATAAAAACCAAACCAAACAAAGAGGGTCATGCAGCTGCCTGTGAATGAACGGCAGCTGCACCCAGCACATGTGCACAATTTCCCCCACTGGGTAAGAGGAATAATCATTAGACTAAAAATCTGCCATTGTACAGTTTTAAATCTGATCACTTCTTAAAGATGGCTTCACAATGACCTTTCACTATTTGTTGGAAACAGAAACAACACAAAAGGAGGTTGTCATACCTTTCTTGGACTTTCCTGCGTTAAACAGAAGACAAAAGGACAAAGATTTCATTCATTCTAAAGCTTACAAAGCCATAGTTCGCAAGTTGTACAAAAGCCAAGAAGCATTACAACTTTAAGAGCTGAGCTCCTGGGCCGTGTGCCTTCAACTCTGCTCTCAGGGACCTTTGTCTGCATGATTCACCCTGTCGGTTCTGTTAAAACAATGCTGATCAAAGGAAGGCTTATACTTACACCACGGTCCTTGACGTATCCATTAAGAACAAGCAGCAGAAAAAATAGTCCATTTAAGTTAATTGTGTAAGTCAAGAAAAATGGTAAGATCTATTAAATTCGATTTAATGAAAATGTGTGTTAGATCTATTTTTTTTTTTCCAAAACCATGAAATTTTACTTGTGTTTGCTCTTTTAATGAGGCCGACAAGTGCTAGTGAAACTGTTCTAAATGAAATTATGATGCAACCTTCCCGGTCACTGTGGGCCACCAGTAGGGGCTCAGTAGAAAACCCTGTCAATTTTATGGTCTGCAGTGACTCTAAGAACTGTGGTCCCCGGCCCCTCCTCCTCTGGTGGGGGAACCAAGGGAGGCAGGCTGGCCTCGCAAGACACATCACATCCAGGGGATCCACACACACGCGGGTCTCTATTTCCTTAGACGCTGTCTCATTGGCACCACAGAAACTCTTTAAGGAACGAACACCACTTTAGAGCTGCAGTAGACTGAAGGAAGACTGAAGCTGCAGTCTTCTCAGGTACAAAAGACCTACCAGTGAGGAACCAGAGCAACAAGATCAAAGACAATAGATTTTACAGAGAGCACGTCCCTAATGCGACCTAAGAGAATCAGTTCAGTTTTCCCATATGAATGGAGCACGGGGATTCCCATTATTTGAGGGGAAAACAGAGGTTAGAAAATATGAGATGAAACATCCCTTCAGGTTCACCTTATTCTCACAAGGGTCGTCTTACACAATAATGTTTGCAGCCCTTATTTTTACAAATCTATCCATTTAGTATAAAGGTCTAATTTTTCTTACTTTCTTTTTTAAGAAAATATTTTTAACATCAAGTATGGTTTTGGGGCCAATCCAAGCTTTGATGTCTTCAGCCAGTGAGGAAAAGTACATTTAAAAAGGAGTCTAAAAATACTACAGAAAAATGCTTCAATAAAAAATAGACTTGACCCATAAATGAAAAGTGATAAATGTGAGCCAAAATATACTCATTTATGTTTATTATTTATAAATCATAAGAGTTATTTTTAGCTTATTAAAAAATTATGGTAAAGAAAATAAAAGACTCCGGCTGGGTAGCTCAGTTGGTTAGAGCGTCGTTCGATATGCCGAGGTTGCAGGTTCGATTCCCAGTTAGGGCACATACAAGAAGCAACCAATGAATGCACAACTAAGTGAAACAACAGATCAACGTCTCTCTCATTCTAAAAATCAATAAATAAAGTTAAAAAAGAAAAGAGAAGTTTAATCAAATGTACTTGATTTAACTGTAACTGATTTAAATGTAACATAAACCTATCCTACATTATAAACCTCTCTTATGACTACTACAGCCTCTATTAACTCTTAAATCACTTCTAGTAATGATTCAAAAACCTCATTCGAGTGATATATATGTATATATACAAAAGTTATACACATACATATACACACCACATATACATACATATATATACATACCAAAATTTATATATTTTTTTCCTTTTTTTTTTTCTGATAGAAAACCGGTGATTATCCCCTGATACCACTGGCCGAGAGGCTGAGCAGTCAGAATGGAATCCCAGCCTGCTGGGAGGGAAGGGTTTCAATCCCACTGGTGCATGGATACTCGTAGGGGCCGCGTACCCACTGCCCTATCAGCCTCCGCATTTACACCCTGGCATAGCTCCATATATTTACCACATTTTATTGAAATTATCTGTTGTGTGTCTTTCTCCCTCACAAGACTATAAGCATTTCAAGGGCAAGGATCATGTTATTCATTTGTACTCTTGGTCTCTAGCACCATGCTTGTTCAAAATCGAGGGCCCATATAAGTTATTGACCTAAATAGCAGTGTTTACACAGTAAATCTAATCTTTTCAACAAGATCCTCACGGCTGGAACTGCATAGCAGTAATTTCTTCTAGCCCCATGAAGACTATTTGAGAAACCTGTTATAGATGCAATGCACTTTTACAAAGAAATAAAATATGCTGAGAATCAAAGTCTACCTGAAACCTAACGACCACATAGCATAAAGGCTCAAACCACATTAAAAGGCCTAAGGGAATTCTGTCCTGGGCCACTAGTGCTCTATTTACTGTGTCAGCTCAATGTATCTTTAGCACATGGCTCAACACAGTGGCCCAGTCACAAGCCAGACGAGTGACTTAAGATCTCAGTGGTCTCTTTTTCCTTTATAACTATCAAATGCAAAGGTTAATAATTCTTTAGGGGCCTTTCTGGTTTGAAAATACTATTAAGTTTATGAAGTACAATATTTGAAACATACCAGTCATATATGTGTGTATAGAAAGAGTTGCCTTAGTACAAGTATAACTGTATCTATAAATATAATTATAACTATATATATATATATAATATATAACTATATATTATATATATATATATATAAATATCCCTTCCCCCAAAAGGGACACATTAAGAACAAAATTGAGGACTTTGCTTGATGCCCTTTCTAATGATCCTCAACCTTGCTGTCTCTCCCTTGCTGAAGAATTCTAATGCTTAACAAAAGACATCCCATTTGATGATAAAGCTACCTACCTCTGAGCATCCTCCGAGATTCTGAGTCTTTGGTCATGGTCGCCAGCGAGTGAGGAAGCACACTGCCACAGCTGTTGCTCTGTCCCAGGGGCAAGTGAGCCTGTGAGAACCAGGAGAAAACACTTCAGGCAAACTGCAGCTAGTGGTCCTCCAGGACATGGCCACATCCCTGTTTCACAGCTCCTATCCAAGCACAGAGGGCAGGACAGGAAGGTCTCCCGTCCCGTTTCTGGATGCTCAGTGGTAAAGACCAGTCGCTGTCTACCCCAAGGAGCACCACGGAAGTCTCCACATCACAGCAGCTCCTCCAGTGGCAGCAATTCCAAAATTGGTGGGTATTTGTTCTCCAAAACCACCTTGGAGGGCAGCTCACAGTTCCGCATGCATAAGGAGCAGAGGGCAGAGGCAGGGGCAGGAAGGCGTGCTCGGCATGCACAGGACAGAGCAGACCCACCCTGTTCCCATCGACCCCCAGCCATCTAGTGGGCTGGAAGCTGGAGGACCCTATCAGCTCCCCCAGTGGTTCTAGCACGGTCTTTAATAGCAAAACCCTTTATGTAAAATATACTTGGAACACCAGTTTGTGAAATAGATTAAAACAACATGACTCTAAGGTCAAAGGAAGGGCCCCAAAGCCTGTCCCACTCAGAACCTCCTTGTCACTTGCCTTTCCTCTTCCTGCAATGACCCCTCGGGCATGTCAGCAGAACATGAATGAGGGTTAGGTGTTGGACCACATAGGCTCATATTCCAGCTTCATGGCTGACCAGCTGAGGGCTCTTGGGCTAGTCACTTAGCTTCTTTACACCTCAGTTTTTCCACATGTACAACGGGGATAACAGTTAGTACCTCTACTGAATAGTGTTGCTGGATTTTAAAATGAGACCATCCACATAAAGCACTTAGTTCAGTGTCAGATTCAGAAATGGCTCAATAAATATCTGGTGCTATTACTCCTGTAATCCAGAGCTTATCTGTTCCAATTTCCGGATGTGGGATGCAGCCACGGGAGTCTGCCACATGAATGCCACCTACCACTCGTGGTGGTAGAAAATACCCTGGACCAGGTTCTTTGGTCCCAGAGCGTACAATTCCAAATGTCCTCTGAATAAGATAGAAAATGCAATTTAGTTATAACGTCTGCCCGACAAGCAAACTTAATGGCTTGTTTATTTAGCATTTTCTTTAAGGACTTTGCGGACCCGTAAACATAAGGACAAGGAGTCGCTGAAGGTGAAGCCCGTGGTTCTCCCCATGTCCTACCTTCGGGGCGGTGCTTCTCCCCATAGTAGCACTGCTGAAATGTGGGGATATGGAAGGAGTACTTTTCTTTCGAGGCAAAGTGTCACTCAGATAGAGGCCTTCTTTATGCTGTTTTTTCCTTTCTTCCAGACTTCTAAAGTGCTTTAAATGCAAATGTAAAGCAGAATAGCAAAACTTGACTAATTGAAACAGGTCACTGAAGAAATTAAGAAGTATGCATTCACCAAGACGTTTGGGAATTTTAACAGAATTTTTTTTTTTTTTCAATTCAACTTATACTTGTGTTCACTAACTGACTTGGGCCGGCTAGCATTTGGTAAGATACACAGGCACTAGAAGAATTTTTTACTGAACCTAGAAACAAAAGGAAAAAAAAAAAATCCACCTTTCACTTTCGTAGTTAGTGCCTGCTGCCCTGGGGCCTCAGGACAACTTACAAACGATTATGATGGTCGCCATGTGGATGGCGGAACAGCCAGTGGACAGAGCAAGTAAGCAGTTTCTCCCTTTGTCTGTCTGGACAGTTCTGTGTGGTGGCACAGATCCCAGTGTGAGGAGGACAAGAAAAGGGGGGAGAGGAAGACGAAGAGAAAGAGGGAGTCATCAGGGGAGCTGTTTTAAAGCTGGAAAAATATTTCAATCACAGAAACACACTCCAAATCGACATAACGTTTCCATATAAGGCATCCTTCTAGGTTACTCTTTTATTTAGAAAAGATCTTGGCCAAGAAGCCCCTATAATAATCCCTCACATAAAAAAAAAATCCTCCTGTTGACTATTTCTTTTTTATTTTCAGATTCCTAAGGCAAAATTTTGCCAACTTGAAATTTATCCAAATTTTTCTTGGCTTCTCAAAAAAAAATGTCTTCAATAGTAAAGTTATTTCCTAATTAAAGTTTCTCTAGGTTTGATCATTTTTATACTAAGCTGGGACTTTTGAAATATGGAAAAATTAATGTGAGTTTGAGTTACCAAATTTATTCTTCTTCTTCACATGGGTCAATCATGAAAAATATAGGCATTTTAACATTACCATTATCTACTTATATTAGCTAGAATTTATTAACTTAACAGTAGTGGGGATATATAGTCCTTTAACAAAAGGTAACAGATAGTAAAGGTACCTTCAAGAAATGTAAGGGCTGGGCATAGCACAGTAGGGCTTGATCGCCTACTTTGGGGATCTAGTGTCTCCTAGTAACTCCTTAGGATCTCCTGCTGCCAAATTCACACAGGAATTTGATTATAGTTGAAAAGAAGCTCAAAAATCAGATTTTTAAAAAAATACAAGCACAAATACGCACTGAATATAGTTAAAGGAGGGCAACATTAAGAATAATAATTTTTTTAAAAAGTCTGGTCAATGTAAACTATTGTTCTATGGACCAAAAGCACTATTTGTGGGGTGACCTTGGACAAGGTATTTACTACACTAAGCCTCAGTTCCCTAAATGTCCATATGCAGTTAATTCTTATTTCATGGGATCATTAAAAAGAAGAAATGAGATATATATTTGTAAAATGTTTAGCAAATTTTGACACATAGCAAGGGCATGATGTCTATTATTATGGTTTCAATAATGTGTAAAAACATGGGTGTTGACACAGCAACTTTCTGTACCAGGGATTTTATGGAAATTATTATTATTTTGAAAAATACCTGAGAGGAGTTGCAATATTTTGGTTGAGTGGAAACTGAAGCATGAGCATATAAAACTAGCTCAAACATATCAAAAGTTAGGAGAGGAAAGTCAAGGTCTCAAACTTTACAACACTCCCAACACCCTCAGGACATACTAAATGTCCTTTAAAAAGAAAATCGGCAAAGGAGTCTACACCTTGTCTTTTAAAAAAGTTTCCTTGCAAAAGCTGAAGATTCTCAAACTCTGAACACCGGTTCCTAATTACCTGCTGCTCCTGCGGCTGCTGCCTTCTGTGTTTCTTAGCTGGTAGTGGAGGAGGTGTGTCATTTAAAGGGAAGGGACCGACAGACGGAGCCATGACTTCAGGCCAGGGGGCTGATGGAGGTTGAGTGACAGGATGAGAAAGAGTAGAAGGAAACATAAATCCAGGACAGACAGGTGATCTTTGCTTTAGAGGAGAAGAAAAAAAAAAGTATATATGTGTCCATGTAAAATGAAAGAATAATGACAAAGAAATGAAATCAATAATCTGATTGTTCTATGTTCTTCTATTTTAATCAAGAAGTCACAAATGAGGGGCTGTATCTTTCCATTTAGCTTCTTGTTAAAACACCAACCTGCAACCAACTTAGATCAGTAGAAGGTGTTTTCACTGACTATTATTTGCCCCTTTCCAGATGTTTTAAGAAGGCATAACATTTAAAAAGTCCATACTGCAAAACATAATAGAAAACAAAATCAAACTGGAAAGGTGATTCAAGCCAACAATTTTAGAAAGACTTTTGATTTTTAAGAAAACTTGATCAGGTTAGAATACTCAGATATAGTTTTTTGCTCTTTTTAAAACTTTCTTCTGGTAGTCCACTCTGTCCCATATAGTTCACGGTTTCTAGTATTATAATCATTAGACCAGTGCCCCCAAATTGGTATGTTTTCAAACTCAATATCACTTTGACCCTCTGGTCAACCAGACATATATTTGTGACAAATGCCCTCATTTTCAGTTAACCAGGGTTAATTTCTGACACGAGGAAAGCAGTGAATGAATGAAATGTCATGCCAACACACCTCTTTATTTTGTGGCTGGCTCACCAGGACAGCTGTGGTAGGCCCAGTGGCAACAGCGTCAGCATCAGCAGGGAACTGAGTGGAAGGGGATAGATTCGTGGAATTGCCACATGGCTCATTAATTTCATTTACACTGATATAGCCCTAAAAGGAGGAATTTAGAAATTAAACACAAAGAAAGCAAAAGCTGAGGCATGCGAGAGTATTAATGCTCTAATACAATGGAGTTAGCTTAGAGCGGCACAGCCAGGTATCTGTGGTATTATCAAATGTTTCATCAGCAATTAAAATGGAATTACAGCGCTTAATCATGAAAAATGATATTCCAAACATTAAAAATAATTTTTTTTCTGGTGAAATCAAGATGACTATATTATAAATAACCCAACATCTTAGATTTTGAAATACCCAGTGGTATCAGCATTCATTCTGTTGCCTGAATGAGGTTGTCACTACACAACATTTAAAATAATCACACACGCACAAATCTGAGATATAAAATTGACACTGTAATCACTCACTCTCTATTTCAAGAGCCTTTTCCACAAATCTTTATTTTTAGATTTTTTTGCTCCGCTTCTGTTTCCTGACAAACAAAAGTGTGAGTGAAAGTGGGCTGAGGGCTACTGGTTTTTGCTCTAAGACATTTATAAAACAGTAATTATTTGTAATGGAATCCAGCTTTTAGGCATCTCGACTAAATGAGAATAAAAATTACACTTGTCCTCTAGTGAGCTTTTCCTAGCAAGACAAATGTGTACACGTGCACACACACACACATACACACGCGCGCACACACACACCCTTTAAGGTGGAGTTGCAACTTGAGGGTGTTTCAGTTCAAGGCAGCTTCCCCAACTCCCAACTCTATCCCCAGGACACAGAATTTCCAGTTACTTTAAATTCAATGATTCAGTTCTGGCTTCAGCATAAATCAAAGTCTATCACCTTCAAACTCCTGCATTTATATTTGAGGAAAAGGCACTTGTAAATTTTCATGGAAAGTAATTGTACAGACCAATCATGATTTTCACCACACCAACAAAGTAGTACGAAAAAAGAATAGAGTATAAAATAGCATCTTTTTCAAAGGTAAAATAGTGTTAAATTTAACACTTAGGTTGTTGTGTTAGCCCACCAATCTTTTAAAAAAATGGCTCCAAGAAAGGCAAAGTATCCTTATGCTGATGAAGCAAAAATTCCAGGTGAGAAAACAAGGTTTTTACTGAGAATTTTTAATTATGACAAAGTAGAGAAAGCTGGGATTGACTGTTTGTAAATCAGAGTTATCAAAAGGCTGCTGAATTAGTCTCGCACTTCAGATAGAGGCAATGGATACTACATAAAGTTTTATAGGATTAAATTGAAAGGAAGTGGATAACTGGGTTGTCAAATTTCATTTTATCTTTGACAGTGAATCAGAATGAAGAGTAACAACTCTGAGTTATTCTTTCGCTCAGTTGATAGTAGAATGTTTCAAAACCAAGGTTTGATTCCTTGTGTGAGTCATAGACCATAAAACCTAATTAGGTAATTAAAAAATGTATGACGCTTGTCAAAAGTAGGACTTGTTTAAGGGTTAGATATAAATTCATTAGTCCTCGAGAATGAGAGAAGAGAAAGAGAGAGAGGGCAAGAGAGTCAGAAAGAAAGAAAGGAAGAAAGAAAATCAATACATCTTGTGAGTCAAGTTGGTTTGGCCCATGAAAGCTACTCAGTAAACATGAGTTACAGACATGTAAAAATAATCTAAAAGCCAAATGGCCTTTTGACACCAGGAAGTCTGCAGAGAAAAAGAACAACTCATTAATAGAAAAGGAAAGATTTTATTCTTCTACTAAGAGATAAAGAAACCTTGGAGCCTACTTAACTCGTTAGGATGCCACAAGCCTTCAAATTCAGTGCGCCCAGAATCAAACCACTCGTCTTCCCTCTTAAGCTCATTCTTACCCCAGTCCTCTCTGTCTCAGGAAAAGGTGCTCCCTGCCCATGTCCACTTCATTATTCAAACTGGAATAATGACATTACTCCTGACACCTTCCTTAATTAACTTCATCCCCACATTCAGTCTATCAACAGGAACTGTCAATTCTGGTTCTAACATATATCTGCAGCCAGCTAATTCTCTCCATTTCTGTGCCACTACTTGAATCCAAGCCACCAGCATCTCTAGCCTGCACTATTGCACCCTGGTTTCCTGGCATCTCCCCTTCCTCCTCACAATCCAGTAGAGCAGCCCAGGGTGATCTTTAACGAATGGACATCAAATAATGTCACCTCCCAGCTTAAAAGCACTCAATGGCTTCCCATCCATGTAAAATAAACCATGTTTCGTTAACATGGCTCACAAGACCTGGCCCCGGCCCACCTCGCTGACATCATCTTATCCAGCTACACTACATTCATAACCACCCTTTGTCCCCTGAATCTGCCAGCTCCATGTTCTGAATAATGGCAGAGAAGCTATGAAACTGAATGATCAAATAAAGTGTTTGTAGAAATAGTTCACAAATATGCCTGAGGTACACATTAAGCACACCTGTTATATGATGAACATTTATTTCACATACCGATACACACACACACACACAACACTTNCTGTTATATGATGAACATTTATTTCACATACCGATACACACACACACACAAAACACTTTCNTGATGAACATTTATTTCACATACCGATACACACACACACACACAACACTTTGTGTAGGAATTCTTTTTTTTTTTTAAATTAAAAAAATATATATCTTTATTGATTTCAGAGAGAGGAAAGGAGAGGGGGAGAGAGATAGAAACATCAATGATGAGAGAGTCATTGATCGAGCCCGCAACCCGGGCATGTGCCCTGACCGGGAATCGAACCCCGATCGCCTGGATCCTAGGTCGACGCTCAACCGCTGAGCCACGCCCGGCCGGACTCTGTGTAGGAATTCTTAACTCTAATGTCTTTTTAAAAGCAATTTATAAAGAGAGGGGCTGTTATGCAAATTTTTATCCAGAAGCAAGTTTTTTCTTTTGCTTTTTGGGGAAGAAAAACATAAAAAAATTTTCTTTCCTAGTCAAGCTTACACTTTTCCAAATTAGAGTTAAAATAGTCACCGTTGTAGCTGTGTAGCTCTATAAAAAGATATTTGGGAAAGAGGGTAACAGGGACTCGGGGAAGATGGATGTTTGGGATAAAGAGTGTGTACAGCTTAATGTAAATAGCATTTTTCAATATAGATGGAAAACAGCAGAAATGACACTGGGAGCAAAAAAGAGATAGAGAAAAGAAAGAAAGCAGACTATTTTCTCGAATGTAAAAGGCATTTTCATGTTTTAGAAGACTTAGAAGAAAGAGAAAGTAAAACAGAGGAGAAACTGAGACAGGAAATTACAGGAAGGAAAGAAGAGAATTTAAGGCTAGTTTTGGTATGGATCCTAAATTTTTTGAAACTCCAAGTTAATCCACAATGCCACTGTCAAGTAAAGTATGAGCACACACACACACACACACATGCACGCACACAGAGGGAATTTGCATAAGACACAAAAATAAACCCTTAAACTCTCAAAGAATACATAATGGATGGCAGGAAAGCTTTCAACACATGGAGTGTTTTCCTAAATCATTTAAGCTCATGTTTTTCCTACTCAGCTAATCACATAAAACTGAGGTACATCTCTTGATGCCTAAGGTGGTATGAGTGAACATGTAAAATCATAACTTACCTCTTTTAGAGTATTTGGATTGACAGGAAACCCTTTCCCCCCAGAGAGGCTGGAGTATTTCTTTTCCAAATTACAAAGATTTTCCTTTTCCTGAAGGAACACAAAATCTATTAAGTTTAGTCGACCTTGCATTTCCCTGGTGACTAATGATGTTGAATATTTTTTCATATGACTTAATAACTCTTCATATATCTTTTGTGAAATGTTTTTATTCAAGTCTTTGCCTGCTTTTTAAAAAATATTATTTACTGTGTGTTTATATGTTATTGAGTCATAGGAGTTTTTAATATATTCTGGATACAAGTTCTTTGTCATTTCCTCTTTAAGTCTTTTTTTCCCTCTTTACCCCAAGGCTATGCAGGGGCACTTGTACTCCTATAATTTCTTCTGGAAACTTCATCACTTCAATTTTTAAGTTTAGGTCTATGATCAGTCTCAAATTGATTTATATGTGTAGTGTGAGGGTGGGTGGAGAGGTTCATTTTCTCCTTGTTGACCCAGTTGACCCAGCACCATTTGTTGGAAAGACTTTCCTTTCCCTACTAGATTGTCTTCAAGCCTTCGTCAAAAATGAATAGACATCATATATATAGGTCCAATTCTGGACTCTGTTTCCACTGATCTATACAGTGTATGTCTTATTTGTATGCCAGCACCACACACACAAGTAGTCTTAAATATTACAGCTTTATAGTAAACCTTGAAGTCAAATGGTATAAATTCTCCAACTTTGTTCTTGCTCAAAGCTGTTTTGGCTATACTACGCCCTTTGCATCTGTATTTACAGGTAATTCTCATTTTTGCATAGCTGATGTTCTATTACGTTGTCATGAACAGTAAATTAGTGAACGCTGAATTAGTGAACACTCTCATTCCTAGGGGAATGATCAGGCTGGGTTCCTGTGAGCCTCTGGTCACAATATTTTCAGCAACGTATTGATCAATACAAAACTTTTATTTTATGTGTGTTTCTGTATAAAAAGACCTTATTTAATATATAATGATGATTCAATAACATTGAACTCACAGCCAACAGCACTACAATTGATGCCTGAATGAGACTTATCTAATGCAAGCATTTCTGCCATGAGGCACATCGCCGCCTTCTGTACTAGGATCATTGGATAGTATTTTAGCACTGTGCTTGTGAACCACTTCACATGGCAAAATCACCAACAAAGAGCACAAAAATGTGAAAATGTGGTACTAAATAGTCCACAAAAAGGACACTCGCTTATAGTATAAAAACTGAGCAAGAAGGCGGAGGGTCGTTTTGCTTAACCTCAGCATGGAGTGTGCATGTCCAGTGACTCAGAGTTTTCACTGCTCTGTGCATGTCCACGAATGACTACACAACTATTAATTTGGAGGTTACAAATCAATTTTTGCGAGGAGGCAAATTCACAAATACAGAACCTACAAATAATGAGGATTGACTAAATTCTAGCATCAACCTATCAATCTCTACAAAATGTCTGTTGGGGTTTTTACTGGGATTGAGATGTATCTATAGACCAATTTGGGAAAATAAAAATCTTAATATTTGTGGACCTCAATTTTTACAATAGAATTATATTTCATATATTTTTAATAACAAAATGGTATTTCTCCGAGGGTGCTTTCCCATTTTAAAAAACTTCTCCCTAAAAAACTTCTCCCTTTTTTTTGTGCTAAAATTTCAGAAACCACTTAAATACTACATATTAAACTATATGATTTAATCTGTGCCTTTTGACTACTGTGCGAAAGGGTAAAACGGTGGCGGGGCCGCTCATGGTGCGAATGTAGGGTTCACCCCAGAGCAGGGGACAGGGGTGGGAAACGCAGCTCCGCTCAGAGGTCGGTGGGTGCTGAGGAAGCGAGAGCAGAGGAGCTGCCGGGGGTCGGCGTGGGCCACAGAGGCACCTTGGGTGAACCCATGATTCTATACAAGAAACCAATTTTTCTGTCTCTTCTCGAACTGAAAATAGCTAAAATGGGGATACCCCAGCTACATTTCTTCTAGGTGGGGCCATGGTGCAGCCTCATACTTTAATGCATGATGCTGGATTTGACTGTTCTCCTGCACACCATTCTCGGTCCCTCTCATATTTTTATGATCCCAAGAGTGACATTCCTCGGTACTGGCCTGCACGCCAGGCTCAGGAGGGAGACTAGCGCCATCAGCTTTAACTTCTGTTGACTTATTCCTGAAATTAGACTTTGGCCATATCAGGAAGTCAGGCTGAAGTCTGGGCAGAGGAATCCCTTTCCGTGTAGTCACTTGAGGGGCTGGGATGTGGACGCGGTCCCTTTGGTGAGAGTGATCTTGCCGTCCACATGGGGGTGTCTACCCTAGCCAATTCAGCTCAGCTAAATGCAAGGTGGCATTCGCCAGGAACACCCCCACAGAAAGAATTGGAGTTTGAAACCCCAGAGCAGCAGAGCCAAAATGTTTGACAGCCTTAAAAAAAAAAAAAAAAAAAAAAAAAAAAGCAGAACATGTTTTAACCTGTTTGAAGAAAAATATGATTTTTTTTTACAAAAACAAAAAATCAGAAAACAGACAGATTTTCCATAGTTGGGATTTTCACACTGTGGAAGAAACATGAAGAAAATATCCTTGCTTTACTCTGAATTGCAGTCATTCTCAAAACATCAGCTTATTAATGTGGAGGATTGAATAGAATTATGTATTAAAAAGTCTTCCTTAAATTACAATCGACTGCTCACTATTAAAAGGCACTTGGTTCGAAGGAAAGAACTTTCCCCAAATTGGAGCCTGTGTTTTACTGCAGACAGTGCTGGAAGGGAAATACTCACTCTCTGCAGCATCATTATTAAGTTATTCTTTTCTTTCACAAAGTGGTCTTGTTCTCTCTGGGCCTGCTGGACAATGTGAGAGGCTTGCTTTTTCAACGCGGAAATTTTTTCCTAGAGGGAATAAAGATGATCACAAAAAGATGCACATTAGACATGCAAAGGTTTGCCAGTCTGTCCTGGAAACGAGAGAAAAGGTGTTTACAGCTGGAATAACATTTTCATTGACGGCTGGCAGTGATGATCACCCAGGGGCAGTTTCTTTGACATGCCAAGCTCGTGGCTTTTCCTTACCTAAGTTCAAGTGATTTAAGATCTATTTGAGGAACCCAGAAGGCAACAGGAAATCCTGTTTTAGACTATAAATGAATTTTTGGCATCATCTTGGGAGACGCCTCGTGGAAAAACAATGGAGTTTCTTATTTAAACTGAGAGCTTAAGAAGTCACCTTCTCCATTTTCCCTTCCTTCAGTTTTTTGGGGTTTAGTCCAGAGCACTGGGGTGTGATTCCAAATTCTGAAACAGCTGAATACTGGGCTGGACATCTGGGGGCTCAGGGATGGGTGCAGTCAGCGAGGTATTATCAGCATGGCATTATCGGGCTATTTCTAATGGTGACAAGCCATCAGCCAGCTTTGGGAACTGACGAGCAATGGACAGAGAAAGTTTCCCAACAGACTTTGTTCATACAATTATTCTGAATCTAGTTACTATGATTGCAAAGGGAAGAAATTTCAAACAAATATCTAAATTTCAGATTTTCTCTGCCTTGGTTTTCACATAGAGAAAAAATTAGATATTGTTTATCAATGCATCCAAAGCATCAAGTAACAATGACTGGACCATGTACGTTTGCCAGTTGAAAGCACCATTTGGCATATAGATGGCAGGCTCCATAATCTGCCAAAGGTGATACGTAGACAGGTAGATGGACATACGCTATAGCTATGTTAGTGATTATAGCTAACACAGTGAGGGGTGTATTATGATTTTTGCATTGAATGACACCTGACGGAAGTACCTTTCTGGTGACAATGTTGCGTTGATATTCAGCCACTTCGCGCAAGAGCTGCTGGGTGAGGTTCTCCTTCTCCTCATCTAGACGGCTCTCGTGCTCGAGCTGCTGGAATTCTAGGTCTTCAAAGTGTTTGCTCTCCACATCCAGCCGGTCGGCATCCTTTGGAGAAAAGCGAATGAAAACAAGACATACCAGAATGGCTGCAGCCTTTTAAATGTGAAGGAAAAAAATATTAAAAGCAAACAGTCCAAAATATCTTTCCAATTACAACACTGAACGGGGTTAGAATATGGCAATCCTCTCTTTTGGAAATGAGCCCCCAGTGCAGAGACTATTGTTGGAATTGGAAGGGACTTGGGGGAGGGGATGGGGGACACTTTTACTTCACCACTGATTTTAGACTGCTTTGTGGATGTAGAAATTCTTGCTTCAGATCTGCTAGGTGGTTTTAAAATGGATCACAAAGTATACAAATAATTCAGTAAATAACTTAAACATTATCTGTGGACCAAAGGTGTGACATAGTCTCTTGAGAAAATTCCTATTTTTCCACAAGTTTCCAAATTAAATGAAAGTATAGTATAGAGATTGAATTCAAGATTTCAAAGTTGTTGACTATAAAAAAAAAGTTAGCATATATAACAGACCAGAGGTCTCTAAGAGGAAGACACACAACACAATTCACTAAGATGTGAAGAGGAAATATTAGAGCTTCTTTATATTTAATTTTACTTTTTCCTTTCCTTTTATAATTTCTCAATAAATGTTCTTTAATGTACATACAGGTAGAATAGTATATGTACATTATTTAAAATAAATATATATTTTTGAGGACACATAAGTATATGTATGACCTATATAATATATACAGGCATGCATGCTCACACAATTTTATTGAAGGGAAATATCATCAAACATATTTGGAGATTGGGGTTCTTAAACTGGGTTTCTGTGAATCCCTTAAAATTGTTTACAAACCTTTGTAGTGGAAAGAATGGAACTACAGCTCTCATCAGACACAAAGAGTGACTCAAAGATTACATTCTAGGACTCTGGAAAATCTTAAGGACATTTAAGAAAGATCAGAAATCATAAAAATCAGATGATCTAGAACAGACATTCTCCAGCTGAGGAGATGCCTGAGGACAAGAATGAATTTGTATCTCTGCAAAAATTGGTTTGTGTTGTATAAATTATTCTCCAATCTACTTTTTAAAAAAATACTCGCCCCTTTACTTTTGGAGACTGTGACAGAACTATAAATGTAGTATATATAGATTTTTAAAAATATATAATTTATAAATAATCTATGGCCAAAAAGAAGAGGCAGCTGAACTAGATGGCTCACAGCTCTACAAAGGCAAAAGAGCCAGGACATTTTCCCCCCAATCAAAACATCAAAAAGAGTTGGAAAAATAAATATATGATAAATTAGGTCTTTATCAGTATTTAACTCCATGCACCTCCTGGTTTTTATGTAAATGATGATAAATGAAATCTTTAATTTAATGAAATACATTTCTATTTTATGGAATGAATTTTATTCTGGGAATGATTCATAGAGATATTAACTACCATGTAACCATGTAATTAAAACCAACACTAGAGCAACAAGGTTATTATGTCAACACAGACGTATTCTCAAAGCTTAAGAGCAGGAAAAACAATTTGAAAAATTTATCATTTAAAACTTCTTTACATTTTAATTGGCCGGACAAAATGTGGTTTTGGTTTCAAGTTATTAGCTGACATTTCAAGTTTCTCAGACATTTCATGCTTATAATTTCTAAAGAAATTAATGAATTCAGACCAAATCTAGTCACTACTGAAGGAATTAAGAGAGAACTCAAGTAGTACATCTTGAAACAAAATACTTAGTCTTGCAGCAATACATTAGCTGATATATTTATTCATACAGGCATGCGCACTCATTTTTAAGGTCTTTCCATTAAGCTAGGTTTGTGTCTAAAAGTTACTGAGATAAAAATTTAATAAACTGTTTTTTCAGTTTATAAATAATCTACACTCAAAGTAGATATATGGCTACAATATATACAGTATGCTAGTGGGTCCCTCACTCCACATCTGGTTAACATGCAACATGTTATTTTAACCGCACGAAGGTCACAGAGTCACTAATTTATTTGTAGTAAATATTTAAACCACTGCATGACAATAATAGTACACTAGGAAGGAAACTTGAAAACCAGAGCTAAACTCAGCACTCAGATTCCACGGGTGTAATCATCCGATCAAGTTATCTAAACTATTAAAATGCGTGTATATAAACTTAGACTGTGAAAGAAAAACAACTTGGGAGGGGGAAAAACCTTTAAAAGCTATTAGATAATAAGAATTCAGGGGCTGGAATTTGGAGGCAGGAGTTGTTGCACTGAGCACAGAAAAATATACGCAGGAAGCTCAATGCCAAGCGTGTGATAAATTGAATTAGAATGCGAGCTCCACCTCTCTGCCGAAAGAACATTACAAAGCTCTACCGGCCGGCACGCTTCAAGGCCAGGTGGGGAAGGCTCACTAAAGAAAATTCAATGCAATTCCTTCTTTTCTTTCCAATAACTTTCTTGAGAATTTGGATGCATAGTTTACACGTAGGTTTTTATGTTTTCTTTGCCTTGCAGAGGAGGAAGAGAGCAGATGTGGTAATGCCAGGAGAGATTAAAGTAACGATCTCCTGACAGCTCAAAGCCAAGTCCAAAAGCAAATTTAAATGGCGCCCAGGGTTTGTTCACATTCTCGCATCTTATGTGCTGTGGTCAAACACTTTCACTGCACGCTTTTGGAATTTGGATGGTACATCTAGCACAACCTTCTCATTTTATATAGGAGAATATGGAGGCCCATCGAGGTGGAATGACTTGTGCAAGATTAGATTATAAACTGATTGTAGAGTTACTGACAAAAAAGGGTCTCCTAATTGAAGATATCACTGAATAAATTTTTTTTTTTTTTTTAAATCAAGGGACTAAAATCAACCAGGCAGCTGAGTAAACATCAAAAGCACAACAAATGTCCTAGCCAGGTGTTGCTTGCATTTAATAGTGGAACCTATCCTGGCAAATTTAACTTCAGCTTTCTTTTCCACACTCCTCCTACCCCAGGGAACAATTCGATTGGTGAGCCCGTATCAACTACATACTACCGCAGGCCATGAAACATCAGATGAAAACTGTAATCTGACTCTTCAAGCAATGATTTAGAGGTAAAAAGCCCAGTCGTAAGTGCAGTCTTGTATACACAAACTCATTCTACAGTTTCAGCTTAAGTATTTGAGACAACAAACAGGTCAAGAAAACGATGTTTCTTTATTTTTAAATAATCCTTTATTTTTAAAGTTTGCATAACTTGCTGCCTAAAGAATCTTGTTGTAATAAAGTCAACTTCATTGACTCTAGTTAAAATGCCTCAGGGAAACTTTGTGAAGTGGCATTCTGAAGTGTTTGAGGTCCGAAGGGACGTGAACTGTGATAACACAGCGAAGTTCCTAGTATGAATGGACTTCTTGTGAAATAAGTGAACTTTTTACTGATTGAGCCAAGGGACTGGTGAAGAGTTACTCTGGTCTTTATTCCTGAAAATCAGAATTAGTAGACCTCGTACTATCAAGTGAACCGAAGCTACCACAAGCCCGTTTCTCTCCTACAAAAAGGGGTTTTACGATAAGAATATTACACTCTGCTCAGAGAGGGAGAGGAAGGAATCTTTGCCTTCAATTAGTGAAATAGGCTGTCTGCATCATTTCCTTTCCTCTTCTGAAGTCAAAATCTTTAGAACATGTACAAATTTATGAGCTCCTCTATAGAAGCTAGATGGAGCAAACAGCAATTGTATCAACCTGAGTTCAGGTTATTAATAGAATTACCAATTTTTATTTGAAGCGATGTTTATAAAAAATACAAACAATAACTGCATAACTAGAGGAAGCAAAGAACAAACTATACAACTATGCTGCTGAAATTGCATTATGACTGTGTAAAATCTTTAGTCATAAGTAGAGTTAAAAAATATTAAACAACTATAAAATCAGTTTCCTGATCTCTTTAGTGAACTGGCATAAACACAAATGACAAACTAAAATAGTTTTAGAAATACTGTCTTTTTCCTAATCATTTTAGCACAAGATTTCCAGAGAACGGTGACATTAAGAAGTTTTATCTTCTTACAGAAAATTTAGCTGTACACAATAAAATGAAGAGGAAGAAACAATGTTGGAACTTTCTTTGGTCCAACATTGAAAGAAATAACAAATATTAAAACTGTTATGCTGCAGTTCAACTTGTCTGCATTCAGTAATCTTTATTAAGATGCTTTCAACCTCTGCAATATATTGAAAAGTTTAAACTAATTTTTCAAAACCTAGATCAGATATTTTTGTATTAAAGATCATCTTAAACATTTTTAAGGGTGGGATAGCTTAACTTATTTTTCAACTTGCCCATTCCCAAGAAGGTACAGACATAATGATATGAATGAAACGAAACTTCTTTTCTACTCACTTGGGATCATAAATTGTTAGCCACGCAGGGCTAATTATGATTACATGATTCCTTTAAAAATCCAAGACTCTAATGAATGGGTCACACTTTATCTGGGTGGCTGTTTAGAGGAACAGCCCTATTGTCTATGAACTAAGGAGTGGCCATGCCAGTGACTGTGAAACCATCCCCATAGGAGGCCCTGTTTTCAGAACGTGGTCGTGCTCAGCACTGCCACCATCAAGGATCAGTGAATAATCTGGTAAAGTTCACCTACAAGGTCTATGCTGCACTAAGTTTTTAAAAGTCATGAAATGCATATAGAAGCTGTTGAGGGCATTAGTATTGCCCTGCACCTTGGGTCTGGGCGTTTCACTGCTGTGATCGTGCTTGTGAGTTCAATGTCACGAAGAAGTAGAAAGAAAAAGAAAAACAATACGATAAGCGGTGGTGGGGGGCAAATCAGAGAATAGGATAATTTTTGGACAAGAGTATAGAATCAAGCTAAAAAAGATAAAAAAAATTCAAGGGCAAACAGTATTCACGATACAGCACAGAATGGGGAGAAGATGTCAGTTGATCTAAATGCTACAAAATCTTGGTGATGGTTACATGTCAGGAATTGCTCTCTGGTTACAAAGAATGACTCCAGAAATGTATTTACATTCTCAGTTGGGTGAAGGAGTCTAACAAGGAATTTTTTAACTGATTAGCATGAAATAATATATACTGTCAGCATGCATATTTCAATTTAAAAAGTATCGAATGACCGGAACTTATGCAAATTTATAGTATGTGGAGAAGGAAGTCAGTAAGTGAAATTTAATGAAAAACAAACCTCTATAAAAAAATAAAAACAAACAAAAAAATAAACCAAACCAAAACAAAAAACAACTGGCACATTCCTGTTTGCTACTGACCCTCTTCAGTTGCTGCTGTAACTGTTCCCGCATGGACTCAGGACAAGTGTCCAGCTGGGTCTTCTGCTCGGAGTAAAGCTCCTGAAGCCTCTCTAGTTTTTCCCTTTCAGCATCAAGCTTTACCTTCTCCTGAAGTTCAGAAATCAGAAAATAGAAGAATAGCAATTACCTTCACACCCAAGGCGTTAGTGAACATTTTCCAAGGATAACACGACAAGTATACACAAACTCTAGATACCCTATGAACATAGAAACATAGGTTAGTGACTACGATAAGGGGGTGTAAGTGGAAGTAGACACAAGGGACCCCATTTCTGTATTCTCAAAACACAATCTACCTCCTTGAGTACTGGCAATGACCCCCATCCTTCCTTCCTTCCTGCCACCATGTTACAAAGGCCAGGAAGCAATGGTAATGTTGGTTAATGGTCAACAAAGAACAAAAGCAATGTCAACCGAATTCATAAGACAGCCTTGCAGAGTCACCTGGCAGAGAGCCAGACAATGAAAAGCAGGCATTTCCTTCAAGCACTGTGGTAGTCCAGTTTGCTCAAAGCATTTCTTAAGCACACTTTGGAAACTGTTAAAATTTTGTTCCCATGTCAGAGGTACATTAGACCCTCTGGGTGATACCCAGGTCATCTGAAACGTATCTAGCTATCTGGTAAACCCCAGAGCTTAAGCAATTAGAGAATCTGACTCCAAGGACAGCATGTGATCCAGAGGCTGAGAGGGCCAGTAAAAATGCAAGGCTGACCACGCAGCGAGAAGAAGGTCTATCAGGCAGCTCAGAGATGCTGAACATGCGACATTCACTGTGGAGATAAGAACTTCTCTACAATGACTGACATAGAAAAATAAGTGAAACCTGGACTGTGAAAAAAGAGGAGAGGACAATACCCAGGAGCCAGAGAAGAGAAAGGAGATCACACTAAATCTCTGCTCAGTCACACACTCCAAAGTGACCCCAAAAGGCAAATCCTGTAACACAGTGATTACGAGGCCTTACGATGCCACCTCGTAAACAGACAAAGCTTCAATCTCTGTAGCGCCGGTCTTCCCAACTTGCGTTCCCTTTATGATACTCTGAACCCTTGAAGCAAATTGTAGACCTGATTCTCTCCTTGTGTAACACTCTTGGACTAAACAGAAGCACTTTCTCAAGCATGACCACAGTTTCACCCTCAGTAAGCAAAATACCATGACCTTATTTCCCTTTGTTCATTCTATGTGAATCGCTACAAATAAAACTGGCTTCTAAGTATATTACAGAAGGATTTCTTTTTTAAAGATGAAGCTCTGAAATAGTCCTATAAAATTATACTTACTAGAACTTCTTCATCCAAATGGCCATGATTTCCTGTGTAAACATATATTTAGATTCTTTATAAAAGATGTTATGGTTTAAGTCTAAAACTATATTGACATCAATACTTATACCAGTTCATTCGAGTCTCCATTTGTGGCTTAAATTTTAAAATGTCAAGGGCATTTTAGAAATGTATATTTTGATTTAGAACTGCACTCTTTTCTCAAAATGAATAAACCCGGAAGTCATAAAACTGAGAATTCTACTTCATATATCAACCTAAATATGATTCTACAACTTCAACCTTAGCAGACTGTGAAGACAGTGTCCTTGTCTTTCATGGCAAGTCTGCTCATTGGGCACATCTATTGTGCAGGAATTGGAGAAAGCAATGGCGTCGTTTACAGGAAAAAGGATTCTCAAGTGTTAATTCATAGGAAACCAGAAAATACTAGTAGTACCAGTTAGATTTAGTCTTCACTTTTAGAATTAATTATTTTTTCCCTTAATAAAGCCAGCGATACAGAACACCCATATTCTTTTGGCTACGAGAATGTATTTCTTCTGTGTGTGAATCAAAGATGGCCATGTTTACAAAGCAAAAGAATTTTATCCAAAACAAGTTCTATTTCTAGATACTGTATCACCGGATTTTGCAGCAAATCTAGTTCCAAACAGAAAGTAAAAGAAATAAGAAAACTATTCATTCCAATTAAATTTCATATTTCAAAGCCTTAAAATTTAAAGTTATATTTAATAGAAAACACTGATACTATTGTATAATATAATATAAAAAGGCGCTGGACTCAAACACAGGTCTCAATCCGAAGAAATAAACTATTGTTCTGACGCTCTCATTTTTTAAAACTGTAAATAATCACAAATAAACAACCAATAAAAAATACCTTATGTTTACATAGTGCCTTCCTCCTGAGGTGCTCAAAACGTTTAGCAATTCCATACAAGGGGGTGGTTAGAAGAATTATGCAAGCAGGCACCATCAGGACCTTCTGCAGCTTCTCTGCGATTTTCCAGTAAGGCTGTGACCACTGCCTAGGTCTCAGAGCAAAAGCCCAGTGGGGCCAACGCTAGGGCAAAGGAAGTAAAGTGGAAGGATGAAAGAAGGTCTAGTGGCAGGTGGGCCTGGCCATAAATCACTGAGGACCGCAGAGGTGACATCACTCCTGCCAGAGCCAGAAGTAGACCAACTCTGAGCCAGAAAGAAATTAATATTCCTCTCTTCTATTTACTGCCCAGGAAGTTTTCAAAGGAAAATTAGCTCAAGGCAAGTAGTTAATTAGAGCTGAGTATCACCTTCTACAGAGAAGGTAAAATAGACGGACAAATGAGGTGACATTCCAGGGTTCAGGGATTCCTACTTTTTACATGTAAAATATGAAAACTGGGTGTGACTCTCTTCCCCCAGATTTAAAATGGTAAACTCACCTATTCTAACGACTGTGGGCACAGCAATATTTTCCAAACACCAAGTTGGGAAAGAGTTTAACTTTTTTTTTTTTTTTAAAGATTCATAAATCTATTTTCAGGAAATAAATGAATTAAGATAAATTTCTAATATTTTAACAACTTTAACTTTGTTGACAAAACAAGGTTTCAAGGAATTGGGAACATGCCGGGAGAACCTAGGTGTGCAAGGAGACATTTATAAAGAGAAGCGGACACGGCTTCCCTAGAGACACGGCCGCTTCGGTCAGCACTGTTCTCGCACTGACTTGTCCTCAGCACAAACTCCTTGCCAGATTCTGCCTGCTTCGTATACTTAAGACGGATGTTCCTAAGGTGTATATACAGCCAAAAGTAAATTATTCACGGGCAGAAACTCTAAGGAATGAGCATTTAAAAAAATCTCTCCAGCCTGCCAGTGTGGCTCGGTTGGCTGAGTCCTGTGCTCCGAAAGGCCGCCCGTTCAATCCCCAGTCGGGGCACATACCTGGGCTGTGGGTTTGACACCCTGCCAGGGCATGCAAGGAAGGCAACCAATCAATGTTTCTCTCTCACATCGATGCTCCTCGCTCTCTCTTCCTTCTTTTCTCTAAGCATGTCCTCGGGGCGGATAAAAACAAGCAAATAAAACCAAACACAACAACAACAGAACCTCTCCAGCTTGTCTAATATGCAGCCAAGCTGAGAAGCACTGATTTAGTCACTGAGGATATTGTGAGAGGCAAAGGCAATTAATTACAATTTGATTTTTTTTTAATGAAGACACCAGATTCTACCACAGGATCCACCAGAAACTGTCCTTAAAACTTTTGGCCTTAGCACCTTTGTTTCATAGTATAAAAGGCCTCTTTCACAAGTAACATCCCAGTTGTTTTTGTCCCAAATTTTTACATTCAGATTAAATACCTCAAGTAAACTAAATGAAAACTGAACTGCGAGAGATTTCAATACCCAATATACATTCAGAGAGAAACGATGCATTTCAAGTTCAGATGCAAAATGATTCTCTTCTAGCACGGAAATGGTCAGGAGTAGTTATAAATTTACCCTAAATAATCTGAATTTGTACATAAGAGCTGCCAATAATCTTGAATGAACATACAAAGCCAAGGCTTGTCACAGGGCCACTTATTTTGCAAGGTTTGTGGTTAAAAGACAGTAATGTAAGTTTTCTCTCTTTTAAGTTGTATTTTTTTTTTTAATCCTCATGCAAGGATATTTTTTCCATTGCTTTTCAGAGAAAGTGGAAGGGAGAGAGAGAGAGAGAAACATCGATATGAGAGAGACACATCGATTGGTTGCCTCCTGCACANGAGAGAGAAACATCGATATGAGAGAGACACATCAATTGGTTGCCTCCTGCACAGGCCCAGACCAGGGCTGGGGATCAAGTATGCAACTGAGGTACATGCTCTTGGCCCGAACTGGACCCTGGGCCGGCGCTCTAACCAGTTGAGCAAAACCAACTAGAGCTTAAGTTATATTCTTGAACTGAAATTTAACTTGCTGGTTCTGTCTGAATTCCAATGCCACACAGAAATTCTTGAATACCAGTGAAGAAAATCATCTTACCATATCTAAGTGTGCAATACTGTTTAAGCAGATGATTCAAGGTTACCCTGAAAAGATGCTTGTGTTATTAGCTCACATGGCTGCTAGATAAAATAGAGGACACCCAGTTAAATTTGAATTTCAGGTGAAAAACAAATTATCTTTTACTGTATGTCCCAAATAATGCATGAGACATAATTATATCAAAAATAATAAGTATTATTATTATTTTTTATCAATACAGAGGTCTTTTATTTTTTCACACTTAACATGCCGTGAATTCCCAGCGAATGGCCCCCGCAGCTCAGGCTCCTCTCCGCTGGTTCTCACAGCGCTTCTCTGGGAGGCGCAGGCTGGTNTCCTGTCTTTCATTCTTTATTTTTTTGACAGTATATAAGTCTTTTATTTTTTCACACTCACCATGCCGTGAATTCCCAGGGAACGGGGCCCCGCAGTTCAGCCTCCTCTCCGCTGGTTCTCACAGAGCTCCTCTGGGAGGCGCAGGCCGGCGCCTCAGCGGAACCCAGGTACCTTTCTCTTTGGCCTCCTGCCTTTTCTCATCATTTTCCTTCACACGTGTCAGGAAGCCATCTCGGCCCTTAGAGCAAGTAATATGCTCAATATGTACATTAATTCTCTTGGCAAGACTCTTCCCCTTAACCTGTTTGTTTACAAGGATGCCCACCGCACGCTGGGGGACACTGCAGACTCCTCCAGTTTTGCCATGGGAACATCTGTGGGGCATTCCTTCTTGAGCAGTGCCCTTCCCTTGATGTCCACAACATCACCTTTCTTATAGGTTCGC